AAATGCGAAGTCATTCGCAATCATATTTTTCCCTGTGGAGATTGTGCCGTTCATTCTTAAACGTATTCCACAAATGTTTTAAACTTAATCGTATTGGTATTTCTATCATCGGTCCTTTCACACCTTTAAATCCAAGCTTCAAAGAAAGCTAACGTCACATATGAGAAATCTTCATTCCTAATACCAAGAACTCACAAATGAAAAATCATTAAACTCATTTGCAAATCCCAGAACATTCAAACTATAACTACTAAGAAGAAACTCAGAAGGTAGCAAATATATGTTACAGTTGAACTGTTGAAGCAAGAGAACCAACCTTGTGCCAGGATCAACCACCTTCAGCACCGAATTGTTGTGAATTATGACCTCGGAAACTGGTGTCTTGATGGCCTTAGCCTGATCAGCTAGACACTCCTCTCTGGCCAAGAATGCCACAATATCAAGGGAATTCAGGATGCCCACAAACCTCTGCTGCCTCATTTCTGTATTCTCAATGAGACTCTTCTGTGATCTCTTCTTCCACACGGGAATTCCTCCTTCCGAGGATTCACCTATGGCCCGAATTGCAGCCTCCACTGTTTCTGTCTCTGCAAACTCAACCAGCTCAGGTTTTCCCACTGTCAGATCCCCCACCACATGGTACAAAAACACTGACGCCATTTCTTCTAAGTTTTCCAACACCAATATCAGTAGTATGGGCCTTGTTGTTTCCAGTTGAGTCTGAGAGGACAATGGTTACTCTTAATTATCTGAAACCAAATAGATTGTATTTCTTGGACTGATTCAACTAAATTTGCTAGAATGGGTCACTCTTATTTCTCTCCTAGGCCCCTTTCTTAACACAAATGGAACAAATTGAATCAGAAAATTTGGGCAATTTCATAAGCTGTGCAGTGATAAAATTGATTAAGAGGAGAAATTGGCTGGAACCCTTTACTGTTTTATATTAGGATCAAGTGAACGATCTGTAAAAGATCCAATCTTGAACTCAATTGAGAGATGGCAAAAGGCCAAGACTATAAGAGGGAGTGAAGTAATAAAAGAAAAAGGTAAAAACGAGGAATGGGCAATGATCTGACAATAACAGCAATGCTGACATAAATGGTGTGAAAGCAAGAAAGAGAAGAATTGGGCACCATACAGTAATTACTGCTATATTTGGAATAATTAAGATGGCCAGGCCAACGAAACTCTACTCTTTTTGGTAAATATTTTTCTGGGTTTTATAAATGCTAGCCATAGATGACAATCAGATTTGACCTGGTTTTTAAACATATATTAATGTACACACATACAGAGAGAGGGTGGGGTGGTTGGATATAGATGAATCTTGAAGAACAGAGGGGAAGAGACAAAGCATTAAGGGTCCGTTTGATAATAAGGGTGGAAAATGGGTGGAAAGAAAATGTTTTACAGGGGAAATATTTTCCTAGAAATTGTTTTTCAGGAAATTGTTAATTAAGTGTGTTTGATTGGTATAATTTTCCACCCGNGGCCCCGTTCGGGAGTGATTAAAATCCAATTAAAATTGAAAATATGACCGTTATTGGACCCCACCCGTCTAATAAAAGTCAACAATAACGGCTATATTTTCAATTTTAATCCGATTTTAATCCCTCCCATACAAGGCCTAATCATGCACATTTAGAAGATGATTCAGTAGAATCCAATGAACCTCACAAATTTAATTACTCTAGAGAATTTTTATCAAACATGGTCTTAATCGGACCTACATTCCTATAGAGGAAAGAATACATAAATAAGATATTTACTTTTACCCATTTCAAAAATATCAAAACATGTTTTAAATTTCAAAAATCAAGTTTCTTTAAATTTTTAATTATGAAATAATAATTATTAAATTAATTTATTATTAATATTTAATTCTACTATAAAATAATTAACCCACCCCCACCTCCACCACCCCTACAACTCCGGGGCTATTCCGGCGACCGTTCCGACGNAAACATGTTTTAAATTTCAAAAATCAAGTTTCTTTAAATTTTTAATTATGAAATAATAATTATTAAATTAATTTATTATTAATATTTAATTCTACTATAAAATAATATTTTATTATTATTAATATTTAATTTATTATTAATATTTAACTCTGGGGCTATTCCGGCGACCATTCCGGTCACCACTTTTCTCTGGCGACCGTTCCGACGATTTTTTCAACGATTGATCCAATTCCGACGAATATGTTAAGGTCACAGATCTATACAATTTGGTCACAATTTAAATTTTTTTAGGTCACAATTCAAAATTTTCATAGGTCACAATTTGTTTATTGATCACAATTTAGAAATTTAAAAGTCACATTTTGTTCATCGATCACAGATCCCAAAATTTATAAGTCACAATACTTATTTAGGTCACAATTTATCAATTTATTGGTCACATAGTCAAAATTTTAGGTCACAATTAAATACTTGGTCACAGATAACCAAATACTTGGTCATAAACCACCAACAATATGCACTACTGTCACCGTCCCTGCCCCAAAACCGCCACAACCTCATCGCCACCATCTCACGACAACCAGTACCAACACCACCGTCGTAACAAACAACACCCCACACAAAACACCACACAAAAACACTACCACCACCATCGCATCCAACCACACAAAAACACCGCCGCCGCCGGATGGTACTGACGCCACTACCAACAACAACAAAAAAGAGCACATCAAAAAAAAAAACAAAAAAAAAAGAGAGAAAAGAAGAAATCACTGAGTTGGAAGACAATAAATTTGTAGAATCGCACAGAATCTGTTCAAGTTTCAAAAACAGCCCAATTCCACTTAGGCAACAATTTCAAGAATATCTACCCTGCCAAACAACAAGACTTGCTACAAGGAATAACCTTCTGAGTCCATCCACAAAACAGAAATTCGTTGCAGAGTTATCACACGGCGTAGTGCAAATGAGGCCGCAGTCGTGCTTTGGATCACCTTCAACTCCTTTTGCCAAATCATTTTGGTCATCTGCTGTATCTGCTGATAAAGAGAAAGGTGTGGATCGTGACAGTGTTGGTGCAGGGGACCCTCCGGTGAGAGAGTGGAGAAAATGGTGAGAGATGGCGAGGGGAAAAATGGTGGTGGTGGGAGGAAAAGAACAGTGGCTGCTGCGGCGGGGGGTTGCACCGTTTGCAGCTGCGGCGTCCCGAACGTTGCACGACAGCAACAGATCTGGAAATGAAAAAAAGGGGACAACACTGCTGAAAAACAAAAGATCTGGATCTGTGGGGAGAAAAATGGCAAATCTGGAGTGCCATTTCGTCGGAGTGGAGAGGGAGAAGAAGTTATAGAGAGAGAGAAGATATCGGTTGACAGAGAAAACGTAAGATTCCTTATTTTGCCGACGGTTTGGGCGGCGGTTTCTAAGCACAGAGACGGGGAGGAGAGAATGGGACCGGGTGGAATGAATTTTAGGGTTGATTTGGTTATTTTAATTAGGATGAAAAAAATATAATTAATATTAAATTAAATATAAAAAAACCTGATTTTTGAAAAGTTAAACTTGATATGTGATTTATGAAAATGGAAATCTAAAGGTAGNAAAAGTTAAACTTGATATGTGATTTATGAAAATGGAAATCTAAAGGTAGGGTTGGATGTAATTTCCTCTTCTATAAAACTATTCAGCCCGGCCCAATCAAGGGTCCAAGTAGCCGATTTTTCGGCCTGATCGGCCGGACCAGGCCAACTTTATAACTATGCTCCTATATGTACAAAGTAAAAACAAATTAAGACCATGTTTGGTAAAAAAATAAAATTCAAATTTAACAATTAATTTTAACCACATATTTTATAAAATTCATAATTTTTCAACCATACATTTCATCAATTTCTATCAAAATCTACTAAAAATTAATTTTAATCACTATCAAATAGGTGGCTAAATAAGATCGGTACATTATAACTTCATTGACAATTAATCAGTGGGATCAATTTCTACCTAAACTAGCACCAGTGGTGCTGTACAATATTGTTCGAAAGGAACATCGTAGCATTGTATAGGTGACACTACACTTGATTCTTTTTTTTTTATGAACAAAAATGTGTCACAACTTTATTGAAGAATTCGAAAGAAAATATTTTACTGTAAAAACATAGATGGGCATGACCCCAAGCCCATTGTTGGGGCCCACGAGCATGTGGCGGAAGGCCTTTCCATGTACATTTGTGACCTTTAGTGTACCAATTCATTCTCAAATTGCTCAATTTTTCTAAAAAAAAAAAATATAAATATTATATTCTTAACAATTAATCCCGCATTTTAACTTAAATTAAAGGTAATTATATTTATCTCTCTCTCTGACTCTGTGTTTCAATCCTAATTTCTCTTTTTTCTTCTCAAAATCGTAACACATTTCCATTTGCATCCATTGTCGTCGGAAGGTGAAAGTTGATGATCACAGTTGCAAGTAACAACACCAAAAGCAGAAACAAATGAAGTAAATCCCAGTCAAAGAATAAAAGAAATAAAACAGAGGAAATCATTACAGACCAAGTCTCGAGAGGAACCAATACGCTCAAAAACAACTGAATTTAGGCTTCAAGGGTGGCCACAGGTTCCGTAAAGGAATCGAATGTAAGTGGGATCATATCTCATCAATCAATGGTACATTTTCAGTATATCATTTCCTGAGAGTTACAATTATACGTAACCTAAAAATACTACTGTATATCATTTAGCAAAAAAACTATTACAACTGGTTCACCCATGGTGTTCACCTGCTACAATGTTGACCAACTCCCGGATGATGAGATTATACAGTAAATCCTGAAAAAAGAACAAAACTGGGGGAAGGACGGGGGAGTCGGTGGACTGTACTAGCTCAAGCTTGAAACTCTGCCTCCACTCCAGCTCAAAGATGAAAATCTATCATGCCTCAGTTATCATATTATCTGTACTTGAAATAACAAGTTGGCATTCAAGAACCCAATCCACGTGTTCCCTCTTTTTTACTACAGTCGTCTGAGCTAATATCTAATATCTAATTGGTCCATCCAAGCTCCCAGATGCAAACTGAAAGTATTCAATAAAATCGTAAACCAAAAGTGATGACGTTAATCAAACACAATTTGTGTAAGTGCATGTGTTAGTATACTGAGAAACAGTCATGTTAACAGGATTGGTTTCAATTTCAATAATCAACCTCTGAAGACAGTCATATAAATAAGAATTATAGTATTAACATCAAAACGACATTGAATAAATGACTAATTTGAGACATGATTACCCCGCTCTCCTAAATTTTGCTTATGGGTCGAGAAAATGACTTAATAAATTTTTACCTGCTGAACAATTGGATTTGTTGATGAGGAGAATTCATGGGTCATCCCTTGCCAAACAACCTTTCCTTCATGGAGAAATAACAGCCTACATGAGGTAATAATTTAGGATGAGAACAGTACCCAAAAAATCCCAAAAGACAGACAAAAAAATTGTAAATGATGTTCTAAAAACTGATGAGTACCTGTCAACGGCTCTTCTAATCGTGCTATGTTGATGAGTGACAACAACATAAGATGCAATCTTCCCAGGCTTCCCAAGTGCATCCTCACCTTTCAAGTGAACAGAGCGAATGAGATCCTCAACTACAGTAGATGCAATTGGATCCAGACCGGCAGTTGGTTCATCATACAGGAGCACCTGCTCAGATTATGAATGTAACTATCACCAGAGGGGTGAATGACCAACTATCAGCCAACTTAGGCTTGATATAACATGTAATGTAGTTTTAAAAATATAAAGGGGCTTGCTAGAAAATAGGGAATGACTACTTGGATTATGAACGAGCACATCATGGTTCTGTGAAGAGCCATTCAATGAAATATATTCGAGCTTAAAAGTATAACGGTGGAGGGGAAGAAAGAAGGAAATCCCAAGACCTAAAGGATTAAAATCAAAGTTTTGTTCAAATTCAAAATCAAGCTAGTCCATTTCATTGTTATCAACTATCGATTGAAGTTAAAGAGAAAAGAAAGAAGAAAAGAGGTTGCAAAGAATATAGCAATTCCAAATGTATGCTTAATACTAGGGTGGCAAGCAAGCTTTTGAGCTAGATTGTACTAGCATGAGCTGATCTTTGTCAAACTAGATCTGAGCTTGATCAGAGATTAAGCAAGGAGAGTTGCTGATAACTCCTAAAATTGCAAGTTATTTTTGTCATTTTATCGGTAGATAATTGTTTAAGAGCTAACTATTCTGTAATATAGTTGCTTTTTATCAATCGTTTATTTTCTTTGGTGGGAAAGATAAACGTCAGAAAACATTCATCGGGCTTGAACTCAAGCCAAGCTGGATTAGACTTGAACAAGGCTCAAATTCAACATCAAACTTTGGTTTTACACTATAACGCCAAAATGCTTTGCCCGAACAAGCTTGAACCTTGTTTGATTTACTCTATCTCAAAGTCAAAAACTATATCTACTCTAGCTCTGTCAAAATATATATCCTACTTAATGTATAGTAGATCAAGCATCTCTTAATGAAGGACCTTAAATATGCATATATTATATGTCTCTTTCTTAAGACTTCTAACTGACGAAAAGTTCATAACTTAGATGAAGATTAGAATCATGCTGAAATGTACTTCAATTGTGGTGAATCATTAGTTCATTAGAACTGTTAGCAAATACAACCAGGCATCCACTTGGAACAATCAACTTTAATCTCGCAAATATGATTTCTGAACTTACCACTTTCCTTTACTTAGATGACAACATTCACTAGCTTCACTTGTTAATTGAATTATGCAGTAAACCACAAATGGAGCGCACCAAAGTCATTACATTTGAAGATTGCTCAATTTTCCAGCAGACATATAACAAGAACATTTACAAGGATCAATATTAACTGAGAACTCGTATCTAGATGCTTCTCCTTGGCCAATGCAAGTTAAAAGAGTTGCATGCGGAAGCTTAAGATCCATAAAATGACCACATAACATCTCAAAAGTACGTTTTTCCGAATTAATGAAAATTAAATCATAAAATGGAAGATGTAACATTTAATAAACAAAAGATAAATCCATCTACGGAGAAAATATAAAAAAGCAACCACAGATAACTATAGGCACAATAGAAAGAATAATGCACCTCAGGCTCTACTGTGTCTTTTGTGGGATCAAAAATTATGGAACGAGCTAAAGCAACTCTTTTTTTCATTCCACCAGACAATTCAGAGGGCAATCGGTCCTCAACTCCCTGCAAGAAACATTTATTGGAACATTTTTTAAAAAAAATGCAAGGATAAATAAATCCATACAAGTTTGCTCATGGCTGAACTCTTCCACTGACTTTTACTGCCTCTTTCAATACTTAGGCAGTTTCCAATGGGTAGTTTCACCAATTTCTTATCTTAATATGCATCTTCAGATAAATGTATCCGTTACAAAGCCAAAACAGATTGGCTAATAGAAAACACAAAATTTGGCCAATTTATCAATTTTAATGTTCAGATATGTTCATATCTTGCTAACTTCCTAACTATAAGATTTATGAACAGTTCTATGTTCACAATGTCAACAGTAATGCCTAAAAGAATTCGGGATTTGAAGTTTTAACAGTAGGCAATATAAAACCAAGTACGTCAGGAAATGATCCACATTGCTCCCTTAGGGAGATAAGTGTGTGTCGCGTTACTCTTAATATGATTGCCATAATAGAATTATTTTATCTGATGACTTGCCAATGTACAGTTATATTGTACACAAATGCCCACCTTGCCACTCTCTTAATGCAGCAATAAGTGTATGAGTTCAGTATGCTAAATTAAGTTGTCTTGAAAAAGGATAATGATTTGTGTACACCTTCAATCCAACAGCAGCTAGAGTATCGGTGACAAGCTCTGCAATTTGATCCTCTGGCATACTTGAATTTTCGTATCTGTCACGGCGAAAAAAGAGCAGATGCAAGACTTATAAATATGAAAATATCTGCAACGCCCTTATAATAATGTGTAAAAAACCAAGATCCATTAAAAATCTTTAAAGGATTCTCTAACATAACTTACAAAAGGAAACCAACATTTTCACGAACAGTTAAAGAATCGAACAGAGCTGCACTCTGAAAAACCTGTTGCATTGGAAAAGAGATTTAAAGAACCATTTGGTATTATTGTGATAACTATGAATGATATACTTGATATAGCTCACCAAGCCTATTCTAAGACCAGATATTTCTTCATCACTGATCAAACCATGACGCCTTCTACCTCGGATCAAAACCTCTCCCTAATATTTAAACATAGTTCATGAAGATTTCAACATGAAGAAAGTCAATCTAAATGAAAAGCAGAATGGCACGAATATATATATATAAAGATATAGTTATAAAATGAGAAAGAAATGAGAATTACCTTGTCTGGAGCTAGAAGCCCAGCCATGATCTTCAAGATGGTTGACTTACCAGTCCCAGAAGGCCCAATTATTCCAACAGCCTCTCCAAGCCTAATCTATGAATGGGCTAAAGTTTTTTTCAGTTTAGACGCAAGGACGATGAATACTCATGTAAGGCTAAGAGATTAGGAATATTCTTAAGATAAATGATAAAGAAAATAAAATTTAAATCTTAAACTCAATATACAACAGAGCAATGAATATAGCATGATGTAATCATATGATAAATGTAGAAACTGATGGAGCGAATACATGCACAGACATGGGCATGGAAGAGAGAGGGGGGACTGGCAATCCATGATATGCACAAATCAGAGAAGACATTAGCACAACACATGTTAATCTATAATGCCGGCTGATATAAAAGCCAGGTACTGGTTTGGTTCCTCAAGAATATACTACTGATATTCTATTTCTAGCAATGCATAATTGTTTCTATAATGCATAAGCACGCTCAGACAAGATAAGAAGGATCCTCACTTAGGAAAGAGTCAGCCAAAAGAGAGAAGAAGAAAAACTAGTAGAGGAGGATAATAAAAAATAATAGGTGTCATATAATTCACGAAGCAAAAGATATTCTTCATTACAAATTTACAGCCACAGGTTGGAACCTCTATTTCTATCTTAAGATATTGTCACCAACAAGAGCTAGCCAACCACCATTAACTTGTGGATTTGACCTAGAAGTCATAATACGCATGATTGAAACATTCAAACAATTGAACAACCAAAAGCAAATAAACTTCACCTTGAAGTTCACACCTCTTAAGATATGCTTTTCACCAAATGACTTGTAGACATTCCTACATTCAATCAGCACATCTGACTCATCCTCAAGCTCCTTTCCCATGCTCAAATTCTCTGTTTCACGTGATCCCTGGAGAAGGAATACACGGATATATTGCCTCATGAACTTACTGTGACGAATTTGAACAAAGTACTATAAGATCAACTACACAGATACATAGCCTCATGAACTCACTAAAATTATTTGAACAAAAGTAAGCTCAATCCAATTCAAGCTTTAGTAACTGTCATCCAAACACGAGGCAGTTCTACAGGTTGCCCATTGATATCAAGATCAATTGTGAAGCAAACAAATGGGTAAATATTGAATGAAAAACGCATTTGAGAAAAACTGAAGAAACTATGAGTCTACGACTAGAAAACAAAATGCTATATTAAGCAAAACTAAGATATCATCAGTAATCTGCCAGAATAAATACCAAAAATGGCACCATCATGCATCAACTTAATGGAAATTTGAGGACAAATCTAAGTTCGCAGAATGATAATCTAACAATTTGTTTGCCAAACTATTAATTTAAGAAGAAAAGAAAACTTCTTGAGGCCATATACTTCCTAAAGGCAAAAATGAATAATTAGATGACTAATGGACATCATAAACTGAAAAAAAAATTGTGAAATACAACTGAATAAGATCAATAGAAAGACATTCTACATTGCAGAATGATAAAACCCACAATAGGTTCGATTTTCATATACTTCCAGACCCAGTTCTATGCCTTCAAAGTAGCATATCTAAGAATTTTATTAAAACATAAAAGTGAAAAAGATTAAAATTGCAATGAAAGAAGAACCTTTTGTTCTTACTGGGAATTTGGTGGGTGTGAAGTCCGCTATACATTTACAAGCGGCAATAGTCTTTCTGCATCTTATTGGGTTTTGATGATCATCACCCAAAAATCTTGGAGGGGAGCGAAAAGAACAAAAAGAACCCTTCCCGCTATTGCATATGCATTTTTTGAGAGGATGCTTGTACACAAACGAACCACCACCGGCACCCACTAATGAAAGCATTGCTTTCAACAACACACGATTCCAGTTGAGGGGGTTCTGAATCAAAAGGGGCGATTTTGAGGGCGACACAGATCCAATAAAACGGAAATCAGATTCTCACATTTCGTGTATCATTTTTCTTGCAATAAATCATTTTATAAATTTACCAAAGGAATGCCGAATGTCTCAAATTTGGCGGCCCACAATATACCTTACTTCACGTTGTATATACACTTGTCAATAATAAACCGGTCACAAGCCAGAATAATAATGGTCACAAATGACAAATATGTGAAAACGGTGTCAAATGACAGTGTCAGGTCACATAAATTTCTCGGTCACAATCACAAATAATATTGTTCAAGCACCTACTATTAGGCCACTATGGTCTGTGCAGACATTTTTTCACAGTGCATGTAAACCAACCCAGATATTTTCGCCCACAAAATTTGCCATTTGCATTTTTAACACTCATATCACAAACCTGATTCGGTGGTCACACAAATTTGCACATATATTTCTGCAAAGTTCAGGTCACAAAACTTTCCTATTCGGTCACATAATTCATTGCACTCATACTTTGCTTAGTAAAGGTCACAATTTACATGCAGGTCGAAAAAAGGTCACAAATTCATATGGGACACTCAGATGTTTCAAAGAGGTCACAACTGGTGAGGGTCATTATTTTCCAGATTTCATAATCAGAATGAGGCAAGAAAAAGAATTCGATTTTAAAATAATTTGGATTGGAGAAGAACTGACTTTCAATTTATTTGAAACCCAAATTGTTGTGACTAAAGTTGAAATTAAATCCGGTAATTAAACATATACCTGGGCTGGAGTGCGTGCCCTATTGAATTCGATGTTCTTCTCCTCGGCTTATTGTGACCTCGTCGGAGGTACAACTCAATTCTGATGAACAATGGCGGACAATGGAGTCGTTCGGTCTCAATCGTTTTGTCTCTGATTTGATATGGAATGGTTGAGAATTATCCGGATTTCATATTGTAACCGATTCCTTAATTGCAGGGACGGTTAATCATACCTTAATTATATATATATTCTATATATAATTAATTCTCCAATAATTATTCAAATTAAACCTGATATTTGAAACTTCAAAAAGGTTGTCGTTGTTATGAAATGTAGTTAAGTAAATGTCTGGTATGTGTACTGTTCCCTTTTATAAATTTACCAAAGGAATGCCGAATGTCTCAAATTTGGCAGCCCACAATATACCTTACTTCACGTGAGAAGGCCAGGGAAAATTTCTGTTGGGTTCCCAATTTATTGGAAATGTATCAAGTAGGTCCTAAATCTAATACTTTGATGGTTGAAATCCCCACATTTTTCCTTTTATAGTACAGGAATCCCTGTAGAAAATTTTACTTTTATCTTTCACTAAAAATTCAATTTTCATTTAAAAAAAATATCGGATGATTATAGATATGCATTTACATTTTAACTTGTCACGAATTATTTTGTTAATATTTATGCATTGAATTAATAAGCTACTATGTGGTGATTCTTACTGTTGTATAATTGTTCGTCACAATCAAGAAATACAAGCTATGATTTTCAAGCTTTCACAAAAGAATCTTGCTTTATACCCCGGCTCAATGACCGAGGCATAAACAGGGGCGCCAACTGTTAATGCCCCAGTCATTGAGCCGGGGCATTAAGGCTTTTCGTTCACAAAATGACAATAGAAATAAGGGACCTCTCATTTTTGCATACTTTATTCGAACCTTTCATTTTTACCATACAATCTCAAAATTTTATTTTAGTTGCATCTAAAGACCAAATGAATGATTCCCATCCGTGTGCAAGTCCATTAACCGACTAAAAAACTCGTCTTTTACCAAATTTCAACCAACTTTAATTAGAATCTTCTCTTCCTTTTCTTTTCTTTTCCTTTCCTTTTTTGATTTTTTGCTTAATTATTTAATATAAAAATCTAAAGTTACCATTTTATCCCTTTTACAGTTGGTCAAAATTTGATCAAAATCAAGTTTCTTGATCAACAAAACCGTCCATTTGTCTTTCTGCTGCAACTAAATTAAAAATTTTGGGGACAGTGAATGGCACAAATGAAAATGTTGGACAAAGTGCAAAAAATGAAAGGTTGCATCAATTCAAGCCAGCAAATTCCACAGGCACACTACAAATCAAGACCAAGATAAACATTACATGGATTAACTAAACTGATTTCACGTACAGTACAAAACCACTGAAACCTAAACACCAGATATGAATCCAACAGTTCCTTTTCATCGACACAGTCCATAGTTAACCAGTGCCAATAGATCAGAAGCGGCAAAATTCACAAGTAGCATGCACATCTTGTATGCTAAATTAAAACCTCTCTTCTATTGCCCTGGGAGTCGAGGATCAAATTAGATCTGCCACATTCATAGGCATTTCATCGATCTGGGTACTGTAGTACTGCTCTATATCTCTTAAGATTTTGATATCGTCGCTTTTGACAAAGTTAATTGCAACACCCTGCACGTCATCATAAAATTTATGGATAAACTCGAAGATAAAACACAAAAAGAAAGCAGATGTTTCAAGTTAGATGAAGTAAGCATTTAACAAGTTTCAGTTAATGTTGTGTTGGAAAAGCAGGGCAGTTAATATCCAGATATCAAAGTGTTGAAAGAAATACTATCTAGATCAATGTAAAAACTCAAAACTCAGACTCAAACTAAACAGTAACTGACTTGAAAACACTAGATTGTTTGTGCAAGCTTTGACTGAGTCACAAAATCAAGGATGGATAGTTTTAGATGTTTCATGAAGAATGTCATGACCCAAAAATATAGCATTAAGATTTAAAATCACAGAAAATTATGAAAAATACGTTCACATATTCAAACTCACTAAACCTCATACAATTGAAAATAGGAAATATTCTTGGTGTACATAATATATGTGCATAGGGGTGTCCATACTATTATGTGCACCAAGCACGTCCCTTGAAAATAGAGGGCAGTGACTGTTCTTAAACTTTTGTACCAAGAAGTGAACAACAATGACGAAACATAGGAAAATCATGCTATGCAACTTGAAAAATGAACATATAGGGAATCAAGCTGAAATCTTAAATGATTGCGCAAGTACCTTTCTTCCAAAACGGCCAGATCGTCCAATGCGGTGAATGTAAAGCTCCCGATTGTTGGGAAGGTCATAATTGATCACCAGGGAAACCTACAAGAATGAAATATGAACAGACAAATGAGATTAGACTCCATCATACAATTCAGAATACGACCATTTCCTTTATATTACACATTGCACATCTCGAATATTGAAATATTGGACCATGAAGATATAACATTACAAAGTGCTCCTCCGCGAAACAGAAACTATCTGATTTCATTTTCATGATAGTGGCATATCATGTCTTATAACTATTAACTAAAGACCCCCTAAACATCTACCAGGATGTAAACTAGAAATTTCTGAACAGTACAAGTAAAAGAAAAGTTCATCATTACACTGTTCTTTAGAAAAATCTAAAACATCTGTGTGTTTATATTTGTGCATGCTCCATACTTCATATCCATATGAATTTATTCAATTTAACTCAACTAGATTCGTCCCCAATTAATTAATAAACTAATAAACAAGTTAACATTTTCTATTTTTTAGCCCCTGTTGGCTTGCTTCCATTTTTCCAAAAATGCATTTTTCCATAACTCATTTTTAACCACACATTCTCCCATAAAATAATGTTACACGTAAATTCAAAACTTTTCCTTAATTTTTAACCACATATTCTCCAAAAAATCATTATTCCAACACAATTTCCCCAAAATCTCATTTTAATGGAGCCCAAAAAGGAAAATTTCCAAGGAATCAACATATATAACTCTAATAACACATCTTAACATATCTTTCAAAAATATCCTTTGAAATATTTCGTAAAAGAGAGGAGATTTATATGCATTTTGATAAACTTCTTAACTTTTAGCTATGTATTATATATCCACTCATATTAGCTTGTACTGGGTATGGTATGATGTAAAGAAATTTCCAGCAAAATTAACACAGAATCAGATATACTGTGCAAAGTGATACTAAACCAATGTTCACACATGATTCCAAATTAGTGCTTGTTTGGGTATCGTTAGAAGTTGCTGAATTATGATGTGATGGAAGTGAGTGCTGGATAAGAAGGTAATAGTTGTAGATCCTACGAAATGTATGGTTAAAAATAAAGTTTGACCTTGAAAGTACAAGGAGCTTATAATGAAACACAGACAAGCACTTAAATCCAATAGTTCTTCCATACAATAGAAGTGCATAGCGAAATGCAGAATGTGATCTATAGGTCTTTCCCACTGTCAATAAGAAAACCTCTATTCCTACTCACTACCACTCTTTTTCACCTAAATGACTGCACACGAAACTATGCAGTACTACAGTACATATTTGCATTCATTCTATGAGGCTTATTTTTCAGTTTCAGCATATACTATGGACTTGTTTAATGCATAGGTGTCAAATTTATCAAGAAAAATTAACAAATTACATATAAATACTTAACTCTCTTTTTATGAGATTCTTTTTTCAGTTTCGAGATCAATTCAGGAGCTTTCAATGCATATATTAAATATAGACACAAGGCCTTATCTAACAACTAACATATCATATGGGTAAGGAAAAAGATCCTTCTATTTTGGTAACTGGGATATACAGACATGGATTATTTTTTAAAAAAATGTAGGAAAACAGTGTGTGTCCCTCTTGAAATGAAAGAAATATGAGAGGAAGAAGTATGGAAGCAGAGTTTACCTGTTGAACATCCAGCCCCCTAGCCCAAACATCTGTGGTTATAAGAACCCGAGTTTGACCAGACCTAAACTCTGCCATAATTGCATCCCTTTCTTTCTGCGGCATGTCTCCATGCATGGACGAAACAGTAAAGTTATTCTCACGCATTTTTGCTGTTAGCCAATCCACCTGTCACATGTAAAAAGAAACAACATAAAAATGCAAGGAACATAAATAATTAATGAAGTACCATGACACCAGCATCTTCACCATTTTCATTATTACATCTTAAGACTTATTTTGGTTTATTCCTATTTATCAATTTCTTTTTGTTTCGTAGAAGAGCTGTTATTTCTTAAAGTTGCAATTCATTAATTGAATTTCCAATAATATTTCTTGACATGAGAATTGAGACACCAAAACTTGTTTGCAGTCTAATCAAGTAAAACTACAAGTGCACGTGCACCACATACTCACTTGTCAATTTAGTGCCTGCAATCATCATATATATTGATTGTTGTTATTTTTCATATCAAAGAATTTACATGCAAAACAGAAGCTATGCGCACAGTGAAATACTAATATGAGGGTAATTTCGTAGGGCGGATATTGGAAAAATAAAAATGACTTTAAACCGAGGAATCAGACTTCATATGGTCAGATTCAGATTTATTAAAATATTTTTTGTACAGATGTGCCATTCTCAACTTTTAGTGATCCATATGTAATATTTTGAACCCACATTATTTTGAAGTAACCAAAATCTTTATTTCAAAAAATCCAATTGAAAAATTTATTGCTTTGCTCATACCCATCCTTTAAACCTATTTGTTTGTACAAAACCACATCAACATCTTACACATAATGATATGGCAGTGTCCCCACATCCTCAATTTTGAAGCTTGCAAAAGCTAAAAGCCTAAAACACTAGGACTTGTGCACAACTCTGTGTAACATGGTGACAGATCATAAAGTGACACCAGTCTCTTTAGATTTCTGAATGGTAATGAGAAATATACTTAATATTGAATATTAGTACTTCTGATGCAAAGGATATTCCTTTTTGGCTCGCATAGTTACGCAACAAGGTATTGAACTGTTTGATTCTCGAGTATATATAATAAAATCAAATTAAAGAACACCAACCCAGAGAAACGTAAGGAGATAGAAAGAGAGAGGATCATGAATTACTGATGAAGGTGTAAAAATGAGCTGCTAAGAAGATGATTTCAAGATTTCAATTTGTATTCTAACCATTTGATGTGTGTCGTTCATAGTGAAGAAATCACAATTAACCACTGAAAAAGGAAACAGATATAAGTTTCTACCTTTCGCTTTGTGTTGCAAAAGATTACAGCCTGAGTGATGGTAAGGGTATCATACAGATCACATAGAGTATCAAATTTCCATTCTTCTCTTTCTACTGCCACAAAGAACTGCTTAATACCCTGTGACGATATAAAAGTAATTCAGTAAACAAAAACGATACCAGAGGTTTCTGTACATTTTGAAAAAAAAACAGATTAGTTGTCACATGACTAAAAAGTGACATTTTGGGTTCGATCAAGCCAAATCACAACTCTAAGTTCCGAAAGAAGCAGAAAATGATCCCTTGCTTCTGATGTTTGTTGGAAAGTGTGCTTTGTCGGTTAATATTTCAATAGGCTGAAACTCATAGATTGCATAATATTTTATAATTGAAAAAGGCTCACCTCTAGGGTCAATTCATCACGTTTTACGAGGATGCGGACAGGATCTGTCATGAATTTGCTTGTAATCTCTAGGATCTCATTAGGAAGAGTGGCAGAAATCAAGACAACCTGAATCATAATATACACCATAAATAGTCTGCAGGGAGAAACAGCACAATTAAGGTCCAATTTGCAAAAATCCACCACAGAGGAATGCCCACTAGATAAGATACACTAAATCACAGAGTAAATGCTTGTTATAATTCTCAAGACATTACTGATTCAAGTTACTTGGGCAAATTGTTTTGAATTTGAATGAAAAATCAAACGCATCTTAGGATTCAACCAACCCAAAATGTTATAGTCTATTGTCATAAAAAGCTATTTGACTTGTGCTTTGAGACTCGCTTCAGATAAAGCTATTATTGAACAATTGAAATTTAAATTTTAGTGCCATTTGTCAAGAGTAACACCTCGAGGCTAAGCTTCAGGGACACTGAAGTATGCACTCATTTGTCATGTATTTTCTGGACTTTTTATAGTGAACTCAGCCTTTTGGACTATTTATTGCCAGAAGCATTTTACAAGTTTTTTTTTTCCTTTTTACGCCTGTACACGTTAGAGGAACTGAAATAGAAGGCACTATTGCAATGGAGGATGATAACAAAAAAATAGAAATATCACTAGATTAGGATCATGATTGGGAAATCAATTATGTTGATGATTCTCTTAAAGATCCTATTAGAAATGATTGTTTTTACTTCCAATAGTATAGTAGATCAAAACTTTATTACGTAATTACTAATTTGGGAACTTGTTATTTGCTGCTTTATAAATCTATTTCATATTTTCTTGCATGTTAGACTTTAGCCTTTGTTTGAGCCCCATTTTTGGGCAAAAAATGCATTTTTGAATAGTCTTTTATTGGATATTGTGTGTTTAAAAATAAGGAAAAATTTTCGATTTGCATGTAATATTATTTTACAAGAGAATATGTGCAACAAGAACTTGTTGCACACATGCATATGCATATGTACACATGCATAATGTTACTCTCTCATTCCCATAAAAATATGCTTGTTATAAGATCAACTTGTATGCCAGTTAATAAACCATATTCTATGCTCATTTGTCATTTCATTTGGTGAGATGAGAGTAACTAAATGCAAAACATAAACTTCGAGTCTCCATTCAATCCAGAAGCACAAAATACAAAGAAGGGGGAAAATTAGAAAAAACAAGATCATATCATATTGCAGATATATAAGCTGACCTAAGAGGGACACAAACATATACACACAGGCGGGAATCACCTGGAGCTCTGGTGGAAGATATCTGTAGACATCATAGATCTGATCCTTGAATCCACGGCTCAACATTTCATCAGATTCATCCTGACAAATTTCAAAAAGAAAAATCATACACACTTGAATAAGTCAAGAATTAAGAATATGACCTAATAGGCTTCCGTTTGGCTAATTTATAACACATTTAAAAATTGTCAAACTTCATTTTCAACCACACAATCCAATGGACCCATAAGTATTCACCACTCATTTCTATCTATTTATAAATTAAAACATTTATACATTGTTCACAACCAGAGGCTAAGTCACCTTAAATATTGAACCGATGCATATCACAATGAAAATAAGTACATAAAATACAAAAATAGAACAATGTATGGATGAAAATGACCATAAACTCACAAGAATTAATAATTTGATGGATCTAGTTCTTAGAGTTCTCCTCTTGATCATGTCACAAACTCTGCCTGGGGTCCCTGACACCACATGAACTCCGTGCTCCAGTTTCCTAATATCCTCACCCACACTTTTGCCTCCAATGCATGCATGAGCCTGAATGTTTATATAGTCACCAATGGCCAATATTACTTTCTCTGTTTGAGCAGCCAGCTCCCTTGTAGGTGACAATATCAAAGCCTGGACCCTGGAGAGAGAGAGAGAGTAAATCCAAGTATTTTAGTTGCTTTGCTTCTTAACTATTTATACAAAATGCTAGGACCAAAGATGAATAAAAACATTCAACATTATAGTTGCTGTACCATAATTCTCATTTAACTGAATGTAAGTACATTTTAGAGTTCAGATATAAATGAACAAGAAGGAAAAAGAATAAGACCAATGTAATTTGCTGTAGCTAGACAAGACAGATTACATCCTAAATAAGGACTCTATGCTCCATTATCCCCAACCCCAGGTCCCCAGCACACGAAGCAGGAGGGGATTATAAAATTCATTATCAATTTGCAGGATCCAAAATTTCCCAAATCTTATGACAGGGCAAAATAAAAGTGAATTCATCAGCATATTATTCATTTTCCCCTCCTATTTAAAGTTCTTAACAGACATTAAAAAATCATTTTACATAAATTTAGGTCATCGTAAACGAATTGGCTACTTGTGTCCTTCAGGTCAATCAATAGCTAAATTGGTCACTTAAATTAGATTCCTATATGGATTTTGTGCAAGGAAGATGAATCCTTAATTTGAGTGGCATGGTGCTCAGAATTGTCCCATTTGCCACAAAGAGGTATCAGTGGGTGAAAAGTAGTGAACATTTATTGCTATCTTATGCATTCTCTATTAAAATAACACAAATACAGCAAGTTTTCTAAATACAAGGGATGTTACATTAACCCCAAATAATCCTGATATCAACCATTAAACTAAAAGTAAACAATCTCCCTTGCTAAAAAGTATGAGCTTAAGAGTCGCCGATAAAGGTAGCACTTTTCAACTCTCTCAAAATCGACTTTGTCACGAACATATATGCAATTAATTTATACTGATACGTGCAATTTCAATTCCTACGTAGCACAAGATTCACAGAGCACAAATTGAGAGAGAGAGAGGTGTACAAAAGCACAATACACAATTCTCCCAGAATCAAATTCATAATTACGGCAAAACCTTACTCGGAGGACTTGGTGTCTGCAATCTGACATACTGCAAGTGCAATCATGGAAGTTTTACCAGTACCCGACTGGGCCTGGGCAATGACGTCGCGGCCGGATATAATAGGGAGAACGGCCCGCTGCTGGATGGCGGAGGGCTTTTCAAAGCCATAGTTGTAAATTCCTCTAAGGAGGTCGTCCTTGATGCCCATCTCGTCGAAACTCATTATTGGCTCCACCCCTTTTGATGTCTCGAACACCAACTTGGCGTCTTCCTCCTCCATTGCCCGCCGAGCCCTCTGGGAAGTCCCTGCAGCTGCCATCGTATCTGCGTATACACCGATGGGTTGTGAAGGAAAATAATTATGCACTGAAAGAGGAGTTAAAAAGAAGCTTTCGTCCTGCTTTAGGGCAAAATAATTATGCGCTGTAGAGAAGAAAAAGCCCTAGGTAATATAAAGGTTATAAATTTCAGGGTCACAATCTCAAATAAAATTTTAGAGTTTTTTATTAGCCCTAAGTGAAATTGTAAGTTTAAATTTTATAATTGAAATTATATAAATTTATTGATTTTAGTTTGTATTAAAATAAATATGTTAGTATGTAATGTTTATATTGAAATTTTAGACGAATGTATTAATTTCTTCATTTGTTTAAAAGATGTTATTTTTATGTCGTTAAAATCCTGGTTTTAAATAAAATTAAATCGCAATAAATGATTTGATTTAGAAAATAAAATTGTTTGGTTTGGTCTAAAAATTTCGATTTGAAAAGAAAGTTAAAAAAAAAAAAGATTCAGATTGAACGATGTCCACCCTATGTGCAACCCATGAACTCAATTATTTTCATAATTAAATTTCAGCCTTTATTTGAGGCCACCGAATGAACCTAATCGAACTTATGCAATTCAAACTCCGATAATTAGGCCAATTCTCTTTGACTCAGACTATTCGATCCAATTATGAATCTAGTCTTACTCTATTGAAGACACGTGACTACATTCTCGAATCATATAAAATAACAGAGGCAATATCATTTTAAATTCCTTATAATTTATATCCTCCTGACTTGTTATCTATATGCATTACTCCGCTAGACATTGAATAATTAGTTCGTGGACAATTGATCTTTTGGGCATTCCACTTAATTCCAATTTTCTTCCACACTTTCTTCAAGAACACGTCGAGGAATTCATTTGGATGAACAAAACATTGGATCAAATTAAAATTGCTCATAAGAAAATATTCAAGTGGATTCATTGACTCGTTCAAATTGTCAAATTCCTAACATGAATACATATTCACTACTTTGATTTGTTTCGGCTCCCAACGTATTAAGATATTTGACCATATAATTAGATTTCGGTCATTGATACATCGAATATCCAAGATTTCACTAATAACGATTACTGTTCCGTTATGAATTTAGGCAAGAAATTTAATCATTCACATGGTCATACTATGAAACTATATCCAATGATCTTGTTCAGTACAGTCCAATGCATGATCAATGTAGCATAGTCACGACTCTTCGAGAACTCCTTGCTACGATAGAGACAAATTGCATATCCTAGCTAATAAAGTAGCTGATCATACGACCTTATTATAATAAAGTGTCAACATTTGCTCGTCGATCTATAACAATTGATTATCGATTGATATACAAAGTGTCTATCTATGTTTCTTAATGCAAGCACCCAATTTATATATCACTCATCAATAAGAAAATTGATTACATGCTCAATAAATGCGACAATTTGCTTAAAATAAATAAATTAGTAATGACAAATAACAATTGTAAAAAAAAATCCTCACAATCTTTACTTGGAACGTTTTCTTTTAGTACACAAATAAAAAATAAATTTAAAATAACTTCGATTTGGAAGCCAATCACCAATCGAGCTGATGGAAAGAAAGACATCTGGTCATCCTTGAGTTGCTTCCACCTAAAATAATCGATGAATACTCGTTGATTAACCCTTCAATCAATGCGTAAACTTTAAACCCAAAATATCAAAATAATCGATACCTTTTATGATGGAATGGATAATTTTTTACGAGCCCGACTTTAATCATCGAGAGAAAGATGAAGACATATGAATTACCTGTAAGAAGTGACAAAATAGCCAAGAAATAACGCAATTTGAAGTCGAGTCATCTCTGCACCAAGGCAAAAACGTGCACCTCCACCGAATGGAGCAAAAAATGGACAACTTTTCCATATCCTCAAATATGGATAAATGAAAAAGCTTTAGGACACAAAGCCGAAGTGAACACAATATAGTTGCGTTTACATGTCATAACTGTTAATCATCTCATCTAAAAGTTTAAACTGTTAGTTCAACTCTTCCCTCGCGTGCATACAATTTCAATGAACGAGGGCGGGACTTGAATCTTGGTGTTTTATTGAGGCTAACGTGATTTTCTAGAATCATCCATCTCCAAGGATTAAAAGTGAGAGCATCCTCGTATGTATTTTTATTCAAATGGACGGCCAAAAGAAAGGGAACTAAAAAGCATCCTTTGGGAATGACATAACCTCCAAAACAATGTATTAACAGCATGTTTGGCTAAGCCTAAAAGCTCAATATGGTTTCTTTTTGGCTTATTTTAATAGAATTAAGAGTAATACTGTCGAATAACCTGGCTTCTTCCATAAAAGAAGTGAAGCCAAACACAGAGTTACGTGGTATTCCATGTCTTCTTCAGTTTCTCTCATCAACCAAATTACAATGCCTCCCAGTCGAAGAGTTTTATCTATTACCTGTTGGAAAGGATAAAGTAAAAAACTTACCATCACACTCACTTTACACACTGTTCAAGTTTTCCATTTAGTAGAGAAGGAATTGAACTAAGCCCCTGCTTGTAGGGGTGGCAACCGAGCCGAGCGGGTTGTCGGCTCGTCAAAAACGAGCCACGAGTAGCTTGGGCTCGTCAAAAAGACGAGCCCACTTGGCTCATTTTTTGACTAGCGGCTCGTGGGCGAGCCAGTTCCAGGGCTCGTCCAAATCTAGGATTTTTTTTTTAAAGGCTTATCTTATTAAAAAAAAAAATGACGAGCTCGGGAGCTGAAGCTCAGCTCGGCCCACGAGCCACGAGCTCACCGGCCAAGCTGAGCTCGACCCGCTGGTAACGAGCCACGAGCTCGGCTCGTGCTCGTGGGGCAATGGGCAGAGCCGGCTCGGCTCAGCTCATTGTCACCACTACCTGCTTGACACACATTCTTTCAAAATACATTATTTCATAACTCATTTTCAACCACACATTTTTCAATAAAATAATATTTTTCATCACATCAATAATTTTTCCTTACTTTTTTACCACATATTTCACATCATATCACTATTTACAATACATTATGTTCGCAAGACCATCTTTGTGTATCCAGCTCGAATCTTAAAAATCACAACATGAACTCATGTCATATGAATACTGATTGTAGACACTACTACTTTCATTAGATTCGTCCAAGTGCAATTTGTGTTCACCATCGTGTTAATTTCAAATAATCGTGAGAATGTGATAGTTACTATATGGATGATGGATCCAATCTTCCAAATGCCAAAGGTACCTTCTGGTTCAAACGACAATGCCATGGTTGGTCCATTAAGAGGATAGTATTTCAAAGGTAAATGGTATATCGGTCCCAATCTTTGTTGATAGTTGCAATCTGATCCTCAACCATTTTCTCATTTTTGACCGAGCGTTCTATCATGTATTTAAGTAGACAAACACATGAATTTCTTCATATACTCTACAAAGAAATTGTTAAATTTTAATTATCAACTTTCATTACATCTAGAACTAGAACGTGGTTTGCTTTTCACTTCGATTTTCCCTTACATATAAATTGGACAAAATAAGTGTCTTAGTGGCTCAAACGAAAATTGTTATCGAGCATAGTGGGATCAATTATGAAAGAAGATAAGTGCACGCCTAGGTGCGATTTTGGCCAAATATTTTAATTCGTTTTGTTTTCGTTATACAGTAATTTGTCAGTGAAAGTGGACACAACAGTTGACTGGATTAATTAAAATGATCAATGTACCCTTTAACATTTAATTTTTTATTCTACAAACAGGGGCATTTTTGGTATTTGGTGATTTGTGCAATCAATAATGACTGCAGAAACGGCATCCACCCTCGTGTCCAACGTTCAAAACGTTGATTAAAATCTTCACAAAATTGTAGCCAGGCAAGGGCTAAATTTCATTTTTCATTTTTTTCTTTCTTTTATTCTTATCATTTATTTATTTTTGTTTATAAATTAAAACATGGGCCAAAGCATCATTTTTAATTTGAATAATGCTACTTTGAATGGTTGAAGATTGTTAAAGACAGGAGTATGCGCAAATTCTCAATTTTGAATGGTTAAAGATTAAAGCGCAACATCTATCAAAGATTGGGGGATCTTCGGTGCTATTTTCTCCTATGATCAGGTAGCTGGAAAGGGTATTTCTGAGATTTAAGAGAGATCTGAAGAAGCAATCATGCAAATACAAAAACTGAAAATTACAACCAAAAAAAAAATAATAATAATAATAATAAAATAAAAAGTGGAAGAGGGTTTTGAAAATTTTCTGCACAACTCTTCGATTCAGATACAGTTCCCAAATCCTCTCCCTCTCGATTTTTCAATATTTATGTATACGTACAAGACAGAGACATATATATACTTATACTGACGCTGTAAATTGAATAGTAGAAGAAATGGATTTGGACCAGTGGATATCAAAGGTGAAAGAGGGTCAGCACTTATCCGAAGACGAGCTTCAGCTCCTCTGCGAATGTGTAAGTCTATGTTCCTCCTCGTTATTTATATTTAATTTTATTTATTTAAAGAAAACGATGAGTTAACTTGACGCATGATTGATTTCCAGTGCCATTTGCCTATTAATGTGGATTTTGGTTTAGGTTTAGAATTTTCCGCAACGCATTTGATCGTGTAGTTAGGGTTTTTTGAGGTTCTGTCTTTGATGGAACTTTTGGCTACTTGTCCCTTTTCTGTTGAAATAGGTACTAGCATTTGTCAACTTGCATTTCTTATATATAAATCATCAATTTCATTTTCTACCAATCTAGTTGCATAAATGTGTAAAACACATTCTTTAATCTTTTGGATTAAGGCTAAGAATTAAAGATCACCCTAGAATACCTAGTTTTTTAAATCAAAACCAAAGTTTCTATGTAGAAAAAATTTCTCTTTGCATTTAGCCTATATGAGGCCTTGGCAGCTTGTCGCACTTTGTTCTTGAAACGTCGATCATTATAGTAATAGCCTGCCAATTGTATATAGCTTTGATGCTTATGCTATTTTGATCCATGATGTGGCAGTAGTGGTAAGATTCTGGTTTGTTGGTAGTTGGGTGTTTTGCCCCTGTTTAGTAGAGTTTAAAATCCACATTTTAATCTAAGGGTCCATTTGATTGCAAATGTGAAAAATTGGTGGAAATAAAATGTTTTATAGGGAATTGATTTGTCTAGAAATTATTTCATTTGGAATTGTAATTAATTGTGTTTGATTGGTATAATTTTACATGGAAAATATTGAATGTTTCGTGTTCGTTTGATTTCGTTTTTTATTGAAATTCTCCATTAAAGTGATAATTTTTTTCTACCATTGGGTTTAGAATTTGTTCCAATTGCCAAAAAAAAAAAATTTTGAAAAAAAAAAATTATCATATCGAATATCATTCGTTTGACTTTGTTTTGTATGGAAATTGTCAATAAAATTGATAAATTTTTTTACATTGTATCTAGACTTTTTTCCAATTGCCAAAAATTTTTTTTTTCCTACCAAAACATCAAGAATTTATTTTCTTCAAAAATGTGAAAAATGAGAAAAGGTGGAAAAATATTCCCGGGAAAATTTTGCCCATCAAACACTATAAAAGTTGGAAAATGGAAAAAAATTTCTATTTTCCATGGAAAATAAGGCGAATCAAACGGAGCCTAAGTCAAAGTCAATAATTAGTTTTAATCACACATTTTATGGGACCACAACTTTTCAGCCACACATTTCATCCTTTTTTATCAAAATCTACTAAAACTCTAATTTTAATCTCTACCAAACATGGGCTTAATTTTAGTTCCACTAGGTATTTCAAATTCAACGTACAATTTCATTCATATCCCTTTTTTGAGTTGCACAGCCTGCAAGGAATTTCTTCTTTGCATTCATGTACATTTCATGAGCTAACGATATTGTGTGTAGTTGTATTTGTGTTATTATGTAGTAGTATTGCATAGTACTTCATGGTCGCACAAATTGCATAGTATTGTAAATAGCTATTCCAGGTATTACCCATCTGTCAGGAGAGTTTATAAACAAATACAGATCTTTGGTATCATCCTCGATACTAAGATTTGCCATAAGACCAATAAGTTGATTACCACTATAGTAACTGCTCCTTTTTTCAGCTGCATATCTTTTTGTTTGCTTGGGAGCACTATGTTGTCCACATATTTACAAGTTCAATTTCCCATCTATTTATCCAGGTAAAAGATATTTTGATTGAGGAGTCAAATGTGCAGCCTGTGAATAGTCCAGTTACAGTTTGTGGGGACATCCATGGACAGTTTCACGATTTGATGAAACTTTTCCAGACAGGAGGTCATGTACCAGAGACAAATTATATATTTATGGTAAATATTGTATAGTATGTTCCCGTATGCTTATTTGTATTTTTTTTATATAGTTTTAGAGTCCTATAATTTCATCCTGAAACTTCTTGATTCTTTGCAGGGAGATTTTGTTGATCGTGGTTATAACAGTCTAGAAGTTTTCACAACTCTTTTACTTCTCAAAGCAAGGTGGGTGATTCATTTTTCGGGTGCTTCTTTCCATTTGTTTTCTGTGCATGCAAATCAGTTAACCAATTTGTTTATGTTAGATTTTTTCCCCAGTGGGTCTTGACATCTGTGTGTCCAATCACATTTGCCATCAGGTTGAAGCAAGTTGTGCAACGAAAATCATTTTGCTTGTATCTTGATGCTATTGGTGCACAGAACCCGGATAAAAACATTTTGGTGCTATTGCTACACACATGAGAAATAGTGTCATAGAATATAATTCTTGTTGCAGTTAGGAGCTTCTGTTCAACTCATATATAGAATATTAAATCGTCAAAGGACGCTACATGACTGTTAACAGCTAATAAAATAAGTCAATCACACTTTTAATTTTATTAATGAACTCGAGCTTATGTGCCTGCTCATTTTGCTTATCAATAAAAGTGTAATATTCACCATTGAGGTTATAACTACTGTTGTGGAAATTCCAGTCAAGTTTTATGAACTATTGTCACAAAAACCACCTATTATTTTATGTTAACCAAACCTTTAAGTACCGGTTTCCCTTTCCAGTTTATTACTATTCTAAAACATCTGAAGTGATCTAGGTGTTTTAGGTTGAACAAGTTTTCTTATGTAATTTACCTACTCGCCAAACATGCTGAAATAATTCCTTTCCATTGGATCTTCGCTTGATTCTATTATTTCAGATTCTTTGTACCTGATATTTTCTGTTTTTGGTTTAACATTTATATTGTATTTGTACTTTGTTACCAGATACCCTGCTAATATTACTCTTCTACGTGGAAATCATGAAAGCAGGCAGCTAACTCAGGTAATCACTAAATAACTTTGTGAATTCTGTGTCAGTAGGTAAATTCATTATGGAACTACATGCATATTGCATAAATGACCATAAAGACGTACAACTGGAGCCCCAGGGAGAAATTATTGTATAAACAATATTAAGATTGAGAAGGATTTATTTGTGCTTTTTTAAAGTTATTATAATTTTTCTTTATCACTTGGCATTTGTTATTATCAAATGGCACACTCCTTGAATCAGGTAGCATCTGGTTGAGGGTTTAGTGGTGGTTGGTGAAGAGAGTATACTATGTTCTTTTTGTTCTGTCTTGGTTATTACTAGTACATCTTTTTTTGAAGAAAGTTTGGTGATCATAGTGCGGTTCACCTTTTCCTATTATTAAAAGCATGCATGTGATGGATTAGAAGAGCACTTTCCACCATTGCTTACTATTATCTTCTGATGAACTTTTACTTGTCCTATCATCTGGTAGGTCTATGGATTCTATGATGAATGCCAAAGGAAGTACGGAAATGCTAATGCTTGGCGTTATTGCACAGATGTTTTTGACTATCTAACTCTGTCAGCAATCATAGATGGAACTGTATACCCTCTTTTTCCCTCTCCAATCATTTACAAAAGAGTATTCTCAACCTATCAGCAATTTATTGCTCTTTGTTTGAATATCCGTGACACTGTAACCCAAGTCTCTATATTCTTTCATTTCAAAGGAGGGATAGGAAAAGAATCATGGCTCTATTGAAAAGACCCTTCCAGTAGTTTTACTGATTTTTACTGTTTGCTTGTTTGCTTTACAAACAATATTAATATATTGCCTCTGCGGGATGCCAGGTACTTTGTGTCCATGGTGGCTTATCACCAGATGTTAGAACTATTGACCAGGTTTGATCTTTATCGTTTTCATAAGATGTTGATCTTACATATTCCACACAAGAAGTCTTGAAGTAGATAAGAAGATTGTGTTTTGATGCTTGGTTAGATGAGTGTTCCTTTACGCATTTATGTTCAATTGTAACTCGTTTTTTTCTAAAAGAATGTGGTGTGGTGCTAAGCCTGTTGCATAATTTCATTATTTGGTAATTTGTTCTTTTGATTACCATTGAAGGAATGGTCTTTGTATGTGAACTAGACACACCAAGTATATGCTTTTCTTCATGAGTACGATTGTCTGTAAGCTTTGTTGGTTAATGTGATAGACTTTTCTGTATTTGGATGTGTATGCCTATGTAGTAAGCTTGATGCAGTCCACTTTTGTGGCTTAGCAAGTTATGTGCTTCTTCTTATTGCATTCTTGGCAGATTCGGGTCATTGAACGAAATAGTGAAATCCCCCATGAAGGGCCCTTCTGTGACCTAATGTGGAGTGATCCTGAAGATATTGAAACATGGGCTGTCAGTCCTCGAGGAGCAGGCTGGCTTTTTGGATCCAGGGTTACTTCTGAGGTAAGTCAATGTGATACCTGGGGAGAAAGCTTGGTGACCAATCGTGCCTTGTCCATTTGATTGTGGTTTTGCTTCCCACTCTGTGCCAAAGAAACTGCTTTATACAAAAGCAGGTTTGGGAAGTGTTAATAAATGGTTTTTTTTCCAAATAGAGAGAACTGAGTGGTGGATAGGTGGTGGATAAAAAGTGTTTCGAATGTTTATAAACATGAGCCGAACAAAGGCTAAGCTTCCAGATGTGTAGAGTCCGTTCAACATGTCATGCTAACGCTAATATTGGTTTTTTGCAGTTCAACCACATCAACAAACTCGACTTAGTTTGTCGGGCCCACCAACTTGTCCAAGAAGGTCTAAAGTACATGTTTCAGGATAAAGGACTTGTAACTGTGAGTTGCCTCTTTGTGCATCGGTGATTACAACATGGTATCTGGTACAATTTATGGCGTTCATTCTTATATTATTTTTGCTTCATGACTGTGCAGGTGTGGTCTGCACCCAATTATTGTTACCGATGTGGAAATGTTGCCTCAATACTAAGCTTCAATGATAATATGGTATTACTGCTCGATTTTTCTCTGTTATCTGGTCTCTCTCAATCTCTCTTCCCTTTCCTATCCCCCTGCAATGGTATAGAGCAATTCCAAAACTCTACGATCGCTGTCATGTTTACTGTATATCATTGCGGGGGTTTCAACACTCAACTACTTTTTCATGAAATGGAAGCATATTATTAATCTAACTTGATCATCTTTTATTTTATCCCTTTCCCCGTTGCCTTAGGAAAGAGAGGTGAAGTTTTTCACGGAGACCGAGGAAAACAACCAGATGCGCGGACCCAGGACCGGCGTGCCTTATTTTTTATGATAGATTTTTTTTTTTTTTAATTTGGCTTTCACAATAGGGATATAATTTGGCACTTGAGCCACTGGGAGAGGCCATACAAGAAATATTGCTTGGAAGATTTCTTGCTGTGTATTGATCATAGCTTCATGTTGTTTTGATAGTTTAAATATCTCTTATCGACTTGTATTTCAAGGTAGTGTATATGACCATGGCAAAATATATCAATATAACTAATGTTATTCCGACCCGATACCAAAACTAATGTATGACTCGTATATAATTGTATATATACTTCTCACAATAATAAACATAACTCATCTTGAAATATCTTTTTTTGAAAAATTATGAAGTAAAAGCATGTTTTTACATGTCAGCTGTTTAATATTCTCAAAGTCGAGGTTAGCATATTGTGTTAGTTATATTGACACCAGTACACAAAGTAACCAAATCTAAATTGGGTGAGTTGATTGCATCAAATCGAAGATGAGTGGTTAGATCTATAAGAAAATGGTTGGAGATCTGATTTGATGAGCGAAAGAGATTCACATTCACTCAAAGTTGGGTAATTCACAGTTGTATATATCGACAGTCAAATCACATGGTGGGTGGACAAAATTATTTTAGTTTTACTAAAATAATGAGGGTATTAATGTCTTTTCAAAGGAAATTTTGAGTTTTTATGTTTGTGCAAAGGGCAAATTGATAGATTTGGAACCATGCCGTCGACAGATGGATAACATTTTCGCGAGTTGATAATTTTTTATTTATTGATTTTAATTCAATCAATGAGACAAGATTTGACAACTCACAATATTAACAACGATGTCATCTAGGAATGTATATCTAAATTAATTCACAGACGTTAGGGGCCTATGTTCGAGGCGTGCATGTTTCCTGCACTATTAGATAATGATCTTATGAGCCTGTTTGAGAGAGATTTTTGGGGGAGAAATTGATCTTGAATAGTGATATGATGCGAAATGTGTGGTTGAAAAAGAAGAAAAAATTATTGATGTGATGGAAAATATTATTTTATTGAAGAATGTGTGGTTGAAAATGAGAATTGATTTACTGTAGAAAAGGAGAATTGTTACCAAACAGGCTCTCAATTAGTAAATAAGGATGAATAGAATTAACTGAGAAATAAGGTATTTTGTAAAGAACAAGAATTTGACTACCAACTCTTCCACCAGCAGCAACCAACTTACTTACCTACCACTGCTCAAGAATCCAATTGGGGTTGTTGGGCACATCTTTTATTAATTTTATGCTTTTTTCCGATCGAAGAATATAAACAAATAATATATTTTGTCACATCCCCGGGAACTTGATTTTCCGGCAATGTCACTTTCAAGTAGTAGTTCAAGCAAGCAGGCCGGCGCCGGCGTCATCACCTGTAAAGCTGCGGTAGCATGGGCAGCTGGAGAGGCTCTGGTGATAGAGGAGGTCCAAGTAAGTCCACCCCTACCAATGGAGATCCGCATTAAGGTGGTCTGCACTTCTCTCTGTCGCAGTGATATCACCGCTTGGCTCTCTCAGGTCACTTCAATATTTCTTTTTCTTTCTATTGTCTGTTCAACTTCCTTATATTTCTATTTTCTTTTCTTGTTTTCCTAATTATGTTTTCGTCAAAATCATTGAGATTGTATTCTTGATTTCTCTCTTTTGATTATGCGAATTGAATTAATGCCTGGTAATTGAATCCTATACTACCTCTGTCCCAATATTACCGTACTGTTGAAGAGGATTGTATAGTAAGTACTGATTCTTGGAAAGTATATATTTTTAGTTGTGGGTATAACAATGGGAGAGGGAGTATCTCGTTACTTTGTTTGAGAAACCGGCTCTTTCAAATTGGCTTGGTCCCCTTCCTCCCTCTCTGTTTTGTTATTGAGGGTTGAGATTCTGGTGCTTTTTTAGATCTATCTTAGTATGAATATTTATTGCTTAATAACTCAGACTTGTTTTTGGCAGGCACCCATGTTTCCTCGAATATTTGGCCATGAAGCATCAGGGTAAATTCTATATCCTTTATGATTGTAAAACAACTGGCCAAATACTAAATTCTGAAAGGTTTCTTATCATCCTTTAACTGTATCCTATTTTCTGACGGCTAAGGTAGCTTGGTGGATTTAGGAGTAAGTTACAGGTTTAGACTGGGGCCTTTTCAGTATACATTGCCTAAAATTTCTTGCGTGCTAATCCTTCTGAACTCTTAGAATCATCCTTTATGTGAAACTAATGTTCGTTTGATTTACTTGGTCCCTTGTGTGAAAGAAATCGAAGAATAGGCTTTGTATCTAGTTTTGATTTTCTTTGTCTGGCTTATGCTTTCTAGGTTGAGTTTTTCTTTTTATATACGAATATTTTACTAAAATTTAAAACCTCAGGCTACAGTGTTTCTCCTCTTGGTGCTGAACTGAAAAACATTTGCTGGGAATTTGCAGGATAGTTGAGAGTGTCGGCCAAGGAGTTACTGAATTCAAAGAGGGTGACCATGTGCTTACTCTATTTACTGGAGAATGCATGAGATGCAGACACTGTACCTCAGGCAAAAGCAATATTTGCCAAGTGTTAGGATTGGAACGTCAAGGCCTAATGCATAGTGACCATAAAACACGCTTCTCAATAGAAGGGAAGTCTGTGTACCATTATTGTGCGGTTTCAAGTTTCAGCGAGTACACAGTCGTGCATTCTGGATGTGCTGTCAAGATTAGCTCGAGTGCACCTCTAGAGAAAATATGTCTTCTTAGTTGTGGAGTTGCAGCAGGTATTTTTCTCTTTTATATTAAATGATTCTACAATACTTACAGACAAAAGCAACTTTTCCTTTTCTTTTGTTGAGAGAACATCCACTTCATTTGATACTAAGCCAAAGGCTCTCAAGAAAATTATATCATTTCTAGGTCCAGGTAATTCTGAATGAGGTAAATATAAGATTTTTCTAGGTGGGTGGCTTGACTCTCATCTAAGCCTATCAATATGTTTGCACTCCATTTGCATGCCTTGTCCTAAACTGTTCTATGTAAGAGCAAGAAGAATCCAAGCACAAGCTCTGGTATTAAAAATTTGCCTCTTGTGCTGCGAAGAAATTGGTTTGGAGAAAAGTATTAATCAAATATGCTATTTTGGTATTTACTTATTTTCTATTCTGCATGCCTCAACTATGACATTACTACTTCCTTGCTGTTTTCAGAATCTATATATAGCTTAATTTACATATATTCTTTTTGCGTCTTACTGGAAATGTTGTAAAGCGGCCTATATGCCTCACAATTAGGTCTAGGTGCTGCTTGGAAGGTTGCCAATGTCTCTGAAGGATCCACTGTGGTCATTTTTGGCCTTGGAACTGTGGGCCTTTCTGTGAGTGTGCCGACTTCATTATAATTGTATCTACCAATTCCCATGAACCTCGCAAGACTTGCACTTCCCGACTACCCTGATCAAATCTCGAATATTTTGTGACATCTTCTATAAATAGGTTGTACAAGGTGCTAAACTGAGGGGAGCATCTCGAATAATTGGCGTAGACACGAACCCAGAAAAGAATGAAAAAGGTACTGCCTTTTGTCCTTTGTTGTAAGTTTGGCAAAGTGGCTTATACGGTACTGGACAGTGGCTATGATGTTCGGACTCTTCGAAATAGTTGGAATACCCATGTCGGATACGACACGACATGGGTATGGGATATGTATCGGATGCTCCAAGTTTCAACAGGACACTTCGTCGTTTTTGCTTCTTCTTCTTCTTTCTTCTTTTTTTTTTTTTTTCCTTTTCTTCTTTCCCACTCTTGCTCTCTATAAACCCAACGTCGTCGCTAAGAGGGTGAAGAAAGACGACGACGCTAGATTTTCCCTTCTTTTTATTCTTCTTTCTTTCCATTTTCTTCGTTTTTTTTTTGCCTTATTTCTCTCTCTATATAGGTGGTTTAGGGTTTTGTTTGTATAAAAATGAAAATGAGTTCCATATAGTACTACTTAGTGCTCCACTAAGTCCAAATTACAATCAAGTTCCTTATTTTTTATGTTATATAAATTTAGTAATTCTCATTATTGAAAATTAAACCTCAAAATTCTATTTTATTTGTCTTAACCTCTTATTAAATACTCACTTCCTTCATTATGAATAATTAATTTTGGTCTATTCAAAATGACATCCTGAATTAGTAAAAAAAAATTGAAGTTTGAAAGACGTACCCACGTACCCGTGTCCAAAATTTGGACTTTTTTTAGCCATATTTATATATCCTACATTTAGAAAAATAAAAGATCCGACACTTAAATACTTACCCATACCCGATACCCGTACCAGAGTTCGAGCATCATAGGACAATAGTACTGCCTAGTATAACGTTTCAAACATGCCCGTGATGTTCTCAAAATGCATGTTATGTAATTCCTAAAAAGATCTTCAATGTTGTTCATGGTGGTCCCCCTGTGCTACAGCAAAGGCTTTTGGAGTGACAGATTTATTGAATCCAAATGACTATAATGAACCAATTGCACAGGTTTATTTTTCGTCCTTGCAGATTTACTTAAGCACACTTGTAACTATCTAGTTAATAGTGTATCAACGTCGAATCATAAATTCTATTTTATTTGTCTTAACCTCTTATTAAATACTCACTTCCTTCATTATGAATAATTAATTTTAGTCTATTCAAAATGACATCCTGAATTAGTAAAAAAAAATTGAAGTTTGAAAGACGTACCCATGTACCCATGTCCAAAATTTGGACTTTTTTTAGCCATATTTATATATCCTACATTTAGAAAAATAAAAGATCTGACACTTAAATACTTACCCATACCCGATACCCGTACCCGAGTTCGAGCATCATAGGACAGTAATACTGCCTAGTATAGCGTTTCAAACATGCCCGTGATGTTCTCAAAATGCATGATATGTAATTCCTAAAAAGATCTTCAATGTTGTTCATGGTGTTCCCCCTGTGCTACAGCAAAGGCTTTTGGAGTGACAGATTTATTGAATCCAAATGACTATAATGAACCAATTGCACAGGTTTATTTTTCGTCCTTGCAGATTTACTTAAGCACACTTGTAACTATCTACTTAATAGTGTATCAACGTCGAATCATTTCCAGGTTATAAAGCGCATGACAGATGGTGGTGCCGACTTTGCATTTGAATGTATAGGAGATACAGGAATGATTACTACAGCTTTACAGTCGTGTTGCGATGTAATTTTTCTGGTCTCCCTGATTTCATTTCTACATAGTTAAGGTTTCATTTTGAATTAGTTGTATATGTATGTATATAAAGATTGTCTGTTTTATGGGTGTTAGGGGTGGGGCCTGACTGTTACACTTGGTGTGCCCAAAGTGAAACCAGAAATAACAGCTCATTATGGATTGCTTCTTACTGGAAGAACACTAACTGGATCTCTTTTGGGTGGATGGAAACCAAAATCTGATATTCCTTCTTTAGTTAATATGTACCTAAAACAGGTAAAGACTACAATCATTCAGCTCCCCTCTTAAGTTGTTTTTCTAGATCTCTCGACTTTACAGTTGATAATAACTGTATCAAATATATAGGCGTTCGCTAATCGTTATGTTTTTTGTATAGGAAATCAAGATCGATGAGTACATCACACACAACATGGCATTTGAAGATATAAACGAGGCATTTAGGCTGATGAGAGAAGGAAAATGTTTGCGCTGTGTCATCCACATGCAAAAGTAATACTTTTCCGAAGCAATTGCGTTGATTAGGAACAGATTTTTCTTCAACTTGAACAATACATGTTTTTGTGATTTGCTATTTGAGAGAATCACTTGGATGCCTTTGTATTGTGCACTAATAACAAGTTCAAAATTAGACTTCGATTATTTGACTTGCTCCCGAACATGCAAGTAAAACAATATAGACAAAGGCAGTGTACGTTCAACAACTGTATAGTCTGTATTGGATTTTTTATTAGCTAATTACGCACACCAGATAAAAAAAATTCAACAATTAGCCTAATTTAATGTCAAGCTCGCACCAAGACGGTGGGACTTAGTTGTATTGAGTAAAGGCGAGTGAGCTAAAAGAGTTCTTATCGACTTACTTTTCACATATCAAGACAACAGTGAAAAGAATTTATTATGTCGGCAAATAAAACCATTCCTTTTCCTTTTCCTCTTTTAAAATTACACATGAAAGGTAGTTGTACAAAGCTGGGTATTACACATTTATATGAAATGATACAAATTGATGCAATTAACAAGATTTAAAGAAGAAAAAGGGTAAAGAGATGAGTGAGGATGGACCTTTGGGACAGAAATTAACCAAAAAATTGATTGGTAATTCATTTACAACCATTCATCGTCATTGAATGGCATGTACCATTGCATTTGTGGGAATGTATTTTCAGAGTTTGGTCCGAGTGGAATGCCTTGTGCAATGCTACCCTTCAAGCATCTCGAGGTTTAGTTGGGGCTTGTTTGTTTCTTCACTCCAAGAGGCATCAACGATAGGAAGCTGATATTCATCAGGTTTCAGAGCCAACGCGAAATCAGGCAATGTTGGTGCTGTCTCCATAATTCTACAACCAAATGCATTAGTTTAAATTAGATAAGATCCAATCTCGATTCCACGTGGTTAGGCAAGAATATTTATATAAATTACATGAACAAGAACCAAAATTTCTGCCCAGCTAGTTCACTGTTTTCCAGGGGCTAATGCAAGAGTTGCAGCCCCACCACTGTATTTTTGTATCATGTCTATTTTTATACACGTGCATGAATGACTTGTATGTTTTGAGTTCAATACTAAAGAAAACTTACTTTTCACTCGAGTATAAATCCCTATTAATTCGGACCTTGCTCGAAGAGTCCTTGGGAATCTTCTCAGAGAGATACTTCATGGTTCCCCAAAGAGGTGGATTCCTGCATCAGAAACAGAGAAATTTACTGATCTCATAGTCACCTAGATCATCTCATCATCCTTAGGTGAAATGTTTGTATACTTACCTATTACTCAATCTTGAAAAATTGTTACATGGCTAAGTAGAAAAATGTTATTTTCTTCATTTTAACATTCGATGTTAAGAAAAATTACAAAAAAGAATTAAAAACTCAAAATACAAAACGGAAACACAAAGAGAAAAATTTAACATTCGCTGTTAAGAAAAATCGGGAAAACTGGAGAAGTTATCACATAGATATAGGTGTAAAACTAGGCAGGACCAAATAGATGCTAAAAGCACAGAAAGACATAAAATGCCTTTTTGTTTCTGCCATCTCATTTTTTACTGTTCATGGATAGGAAAAAATGAATGCTAACATTATTTTCTTTAGTTGATGCTACGAGGACTAATACCAAATTACTGGCTGTAATGGTTATATATAGCTTTTCCCAAAAAATTAAAGAAAGAAAAAAAATAAACATGATGTGTGATTTTGATCTCTTTTGGATCTTCAGTTTCCCAGAATTCTCAATGTTATTTAGTGAAGCAGAAGGTAAACATGAATTTCTGAGTAATGAAATAAAGAAACAAATTGACATGTGATCCCTCAACGTGGAAGGAGACGGGAAGTAGAGCACAGGATTACCTAGAGACAGGAACAGATGCATTAAAAGCTTCACAGGCCCTCTTGCTTTCTTTGAGATACTCATCTGCTGCTTGCAGAGCAGCTACGGCCATTCCGTGAGACTTTTCTGTGTTTCCCTCATCAAGAATCAGACCGTGATAGTAATATGCTGCAGCCTAAGGAATATGAAATTCTAGCATCAAAATGAGCTCGAAATTCACAAGAATGATACTGATACTATAGGTCAGATTAAATCATATACATCCCAAATTATCATGTTTAAAAGATGCAGTCTGATGAATACATACTTATTCAAGCCTCAGAAAGTAAAAATTACGGAGAAAATAATAGTAGTCACTCTGATAGTACTTATTACATGATTAACTTGCAAGAACAAGGAACAAGGTACCAAAAAGCATACTAGTTGTGCATCTACTAATTAGATTAAATTCCTACCGATGATGCTCCGATGAGATAGCATGAATGTAACAAGTCAAGAGGCTGGCTTATAATAAAAGAACTGCTGCTTAAAAGTGTTGAATGAAGTGAGAGTAGCACAATCAAAAGATACCTTAGCTTCAATATATTTCCACTTCACAAAGAGCCTATGCTTTTCTCCCCAACCATTTGCCAATGATAGGTTCATAAGGTTATCTTGAGCCTACAAAGTGACAAAAGACAATTTTTTATTTTCGGTTCACTTCAGGGTGACAACACCAGTATAACAGGCAGAGAAGAAATTCAAATTTCAAAGATTTCGCTCGTGAGCGTAATGGTATAAGCCTACATGACTGTTTTATAACATAATCTGTGATAATCAATTCGTTAAGATCAGAGTAAATAAAATAATTAAGAATCCTAAAAGGGAAATCAAATAAAAATATTTAATTACATCCAAAGTGACTAATGATAATGAACTAAGTAGGTACAAGGTTTGTTGTGAGGCAAAAGTTATCGTACTCCGAATTGGCTATTATTTATGTGTGTCCTTTGTAGTTTATACAATGGGGTGGATGTGTGGAAATACATCACGGTGTATTTTTTAAATCATTCAATAGTTGTCGCGAAACTGGAACTAATCATTACACCGATTCTAATATTGTCCATGTAATTTATAGTCACTATGGATCTAATACTTGCAATTAAAAAATTCAGGTATAAAAGAGAGCGGCAAGATTTAGCTCTTGTTTGACCCCATTTTTTCTAAAACTCATTTTCAACTACACATTTCATGGGACCCACAGTTTTTATCAATATTTACTAAAATTTGTTTTTTAACTAAACCAAACAAGAGATTATGGACTTCCCATTCATAAAACCTATTCTCTGATCCAATTAATTGTTTTGGCTAGATCCATTGCCACTACTTATCTGGAACTAATCATTTCATCGATTCTAATATTGTCCATGTAATTTATAGTCACTATGGATATAACACTTGCAGTTAAAAATTTAGGAATAAAAGAGAGATCAAGAATTAGCTCTTGTTTGGCCCCCATTTTTCTAAAACTCATTTTCAACCATATATTTCATATGATCCCCAACTTTTACCAATATCTACTAAAAAACTGATTTTTAACTAAACCAAACAAAAGATTAAATGTCCTAGACTTCCCATTCATAAAACCAATTCTTTCATCCAAGTAATTGTCGTGGCTAAATCCGTTGCCACTACTTATCGTAACATTGTGTGAAAATTGACAGTAATGATGAGGCTTTAGCCGAATTAGACCATTTAGACTATCTTCAAAAGACTCTTTAAAAATGAAATACTCTCTATTTTAAAGAGTAAATCCTTAAAAATATGCTCGAGAGACTCTTCAAAATAATATTTTAACATAGAGGGTGGTTTTTGGAGAGCCAAATCAACTCTCTATAATTAAATGTATTCAAAATATTCAATTTTAAATTCTCCATATATTTACCCAATTAAATATTATATACAAAGAAATTGGAGAGAAATAATATAATAATTTAGAGGGAAGTTGGTAAAAATAAAAGATAGAAAAAATAATAAATACATATTGAGAGTAATAAAATTAAGTCCATGTTTGATGGTCATTATTTTGAAAAAATGATGCTTTGAATAGTAATGTTTTGGAAAATGTGTGGTTAAAATGTATGAATTTTTTTTTTTTAATTGCAAAATATTCTATTATGTGAATGTGTTGTTAAAAATGAGTATGAGAATTAAAAAAAATTGTTTCAAAGGGAGACAAACAAGAGCTAAGTGTTAAAGATAAAGAGGTTGTTGAAATATTTAAAAAAAATTTACTCTCTAAATTTATAAATGCTTTCTAAATTACAAAATATGCTCTTTAAATATAGAGGGTTTTTTAGAGATGCTCTTAGGCTAGAGCTTATTGAATTATTCTAGCAGAAAAATAATGTCTTTATATAGACAAATGAATAAACTGTGAATTGGTAACTATAAACCTTTAGCCACTTCTATAATCAAGAGCGTGTGAGAAAACAAAATTGTTAATTGGCAGTTAGCATCAGATTATAATTAGGAGGACGAGAAAGGTTAGAATGATAATTTTTCGACATTCTCCTTAAGCGGCGGAGGTCGAGTAGAAATTGGAAAAATAAAAATAAAATATGTATATAAATATGAACCGAACAACTCCTCAAAATGATTTGACCTGGTTTTTGTTTGGTCATCAAGCATACAGACAAGGAGAGAAGATACCTGCTGCCAATATTTTACCATCTCACATGCAAGTCTTCGTTTCACAGCTAAAGTGGCCTTTGTACTATCAATTGCTAGTCCAAGCTGAATATCAACACCCTACTCAAGAGAACGGAGAAGATGTCACGTATTAGAAAGAAAAGTTGATTCACCTTAAATGAGCATCAAAAGCAATTAAATAATTGTAATGCGTAATCTACCAAAAAAAAGGTAGAAGTCATCAAGTCCAAAATAAACTAAAAATTAAGACACCAACTCGTGCATTACGTTGGAGCTATAACATTGCAGCCACTATCCCTAACCTTAAACAAGCATCAGATTAATGCTTATTTATGTGTGTCAAACATATTAATTATCATAACATGTGTATTTAAAAGAGGTTAAGTCATAAAGTCCAGAATAAACTTAAAAACTAAGGGTTTGTTCTCTTTACTGTTTTCAGACTATTTTCAATTTTCGAAAACACTAAAAATTTACTTACTTATTTTCAGAAAAGAATTTCCAAAAACGAGTTTAAAATTTACAAAAAAAAAAAAGGGAAAACACCAAAAAAGTCGTTTTAGCTGTTTTTTAATTAAAATCAAGTCAAAACTTCTTTTTTTATTTTTGAAAACAAATTTTCAAAATGACAAAAATAACGCATTTTCACCAATCTCAAAATAGACAAACACAAAACTCAAAATGAATTTAAAACTCAAAATTTAAAACTGAAACACGAAGAGAACATCTCCTAAGACTCCGACTTATGCATTAACCCTCAAAGTTCTAAGGCAGCAGTATTGTTTAACATCAATCTAGCAAGAAATTGTATACCGGTCTAATAGTTCCCATCTGTCCTATGCTGATCGACTAATCTACTGAGTATAATAATAACAACCTTGCCAACTACCCTGAGTCGAAAATCATTCTAGGTGATGACCAAACTGGATTTCAAAATCCACATTGTACCACGTAGTTAACCCGTTTACAATTGATTTTTTGCATTGCTAACAAATCTAACAGTCATAATTACATAAATAACACAAGGCAACATAAAGTGAGCACTGAACGAAAAGTCCAACATGCTTTGGCCAAAGTTTAGTTATCCAAGTAATCACTTAAAATGTTTTAGCCAATTGTTTAAGAAATAATTGATTCATTAACGTTTTCTTGTGAAATCCTTTCAAGGCTCTATAATATTCAAACCAATTGGAGTGACCTCATACACATGGAGAAATTCAATTAGAAAGAAGACTAAAGCTATACCAAGTGATGTTGACTAGTGATCAGAGCTTCGATAACACAAAAATTTCTGCAATGTTTTTAAGCACAGTTCAATTGAATGTCCTCTTACAGCAATCGATAGTCATGGTTTATGTTGTTAATGGACCATTCAAAAAATTGGCATGACACTAATAGACTGATTTTTTCATAGTCTCATTTTCCATTTTCATTTATTTTTAGTGGTCTATTTTATGCAGTATCATAAACCGAAGAAGCTCAATCTAGTCCAAGTACCCATCAAAAGTTCGATATAACCTAAGGCAGCTCTTAAGGAAATGCACAAATACAACAGTTGAACAAGGTCACTTCCTAAAGAAGTGCCCACTTGTTAGTAAAATGAGATAGCTGCCAAAAGAGTGAATACCTGGCCTAACGCATGGAGGCAAAGTGCTCGTAGAACACCTTCTGCAAGGTCCACCGGTAGATTTCTCCTAATGCAGATGTATGGTCAAAGGGTGAACCTGCAGTTGATGGAGATTATTCTAATTGCAAACCAAAAGCCATTCATCAAGATACCTGAGTTCTGAAGGAAATTGTGGGAGAACATGCCGGACTGCGCAGTCAAGGTAACCAGCTGCCTTAAGGAAAATATCAATAGTAGACCGTCTGCTCTCTGTTGGAGAAGGGACCAACGATAGCAGAAATGAGAAAAAATGTTTGAAGCGCGACTGGAAACAGAAATGAATTGACTAAAGAAGTTCAGATACTCAACAAGAAAAGGTGAAATTAAGATTTTTCTGCATTAAAAAGATCGGACATATAAACTTTCAATTGCAATCTGAAAATTTTGGCTCTGAATCAAAATCTAGAAATTGCAGAACATTGAAAACTAAGACTTGTGGAGAGTACATCTCTCAAGAGCTTTGCTTTAACGTGTCAACTTAAACATATATTTGCTCACATAGGAAGCAAAAAACTCTCCCAGAGCTGGACGCACACAAAATGTTTCTATTATGTTTCTAGTTTTGGACACAGAGAGGACTCATTAGCAATTAAAGGGGACAAGCTCAATTATACTTTCAATTATAATGAAATTTTGGAAGGATAAATGGTCCGATTATTACAGAAGAAAAGATTGAAATGGAGTAGAAGCAAAAGAATAGCAAACAAAGTAGTGACCCAAGGATTCAGGTAGCTTCGATGACCATTTTTTAATAAGCAAGGCGATTTACCAGTTATAAAAGTGTACCTACAATTGTTAAGAGGATTAGAAATCTTCTAACACTGATAACCTCTATTATCATTTGGCTACCTGAAATATGCTACACTGAATCCGACCAAACATTCTCTTTTCTCTTCTTCAATAACGTAATATAATAACCACTATCCTACTTATTTTTTTATGTATCATTGTTAAGAGTTATAACTCTTGCTTACAGTCTTTCCAAGTTGAAAAAATGTTTGGGATAAATTAAGGAGTTTCATTTCGATATCTCCATATAATTGTGTCCTATCTCTTTGCGAAACGGCATGCCCTGAGCCCATCTCATAACCATGTCTATGCTTCTTAGGTCCTAAACACGATTCCACATATTTTCCCTAGGTACATAATGACTGATAGAGTCTTCAAATAATTTCGTTCTATTATGGGCACAATATCTGCTTTTATCTTAGTTATGTCTGTTATAGACTTTTATTTCTAAAGAAAAATAGACATTTGTGCAGCACTTAGGATAAACTATGCTACAAACAGGAAATCTTTGCTTCCATTCGTAAGAACCCTGATTTGGGTGCAAACACATCCTTGTCACCAATTAATAGCAACAATCCATGTCCATGACTAGCTAGAATATCATATGAACCATGGCGTATTCTCCTCTAGGGCCTCAACAATGGAACCTGTCAATCACGTGAGTATTCCTTCTATAGGGTATCTTTGTGATTTAACGAAATCGTGTAGAAGACTTCATACAGCTTTAAGTAATCATCAAAATTTGATTTCAGTTAGAGAATGATCGTGTATGAATGATTGCCAACAAATACTATCGTACTGACTATTAAGCATGTGCACATGCCACACGTTGATCTGCTATGTTTACATGGTATGTTCAACTAAAAACAGGTTAAAAGAAACAACATATTGTCTAAGGTTGGACTCAATAAATTTGAAAGCTACAAATCTTCTCAGGATGTTTGAAAACATTAAAAGTGCCTCATCTCATAGCTGGCACGCAGAAGTAATGGTCACGTCTGTGATTTAACTACTTAACCATACTACTTCTGAAAAAATTGAGTTTAGCAATAACAACCCACCTTCTGATATCTTTGGCTGATAACCATCAGCAGATGTTCTAGGAAGGAGCAATAGGTTAGCTTGGGATAACGATAGCATCGCCATCAAGTGCAAAACTGATAATACTTCATACCAAGCACTATATATTGCCGTTTCCTAAAAAATTAATAATAACAGTAAGATGAGCAGTGCCCTAAAAGGAAGGGAATTATAAAACAGAAAATTATAGTTGTGAATGCTAGTTTGACCTCTGCTTCGTCCTCCTGATTGACCCAAACAAACTGTACTTTGTGTTGCAATGGGCTCCCTGTAAAATGCAAAGAAGTACCTCAGAAACATTATCATCCCAGAATATCTGCTAATTAGACTTCTGCCTAATATGCTTACCATCTTTAACCAAACCCAAAAGTACAGGCAAATAATCTTCAAGAGCCTGAAGAAGATCTCCCAGAGTTGAACCTCCTGCAGGAAAGATCTGGTTAAACATCAAGAGACATATCAGAGACAACAAAAAATGTCGGGATTCTACAAGAACCATGTTGAGTAGCAGTTCTCCGTCTTGTTCTTGTAATAGTCGGAGCTTCTTGTGCTGCCATAACTACAATTCTGGTTCTAAGAGCGGAAAGGCGTTCCACTAAACTTTTAAACAAGTGATCGCCTAGTGCCTGGGAGAAATCCACCGTTTTAGGAATCCTTAAACCTGGGACAAATACAGAGACCTCCCCGATGTTTGATGGTCTCTTCCTGTTTCCACCTGTGTCCTTTGGCGTCGATACGAAGCATCCCATATCCTTGAATTTCTTTTATCTGCTAGCCCAAGCAATGAACAATCAAAGATTGGACACACAAAATAGAATACCAGAATAAACCAAATAGAAAATGTACTCATATACACATTCAGATACGATGTGTTGTGCCATAACGTTAAGGAGGTCTATATGACGGAGGCAACCATCACAAGGAAATTTGAAGAACAAGCACAAACCAAGTAATAAAGGGCAAACTCATTAAATGAAGACAACCAACAAAGCAGTTGGCAACTCACGAGGTCAGATTGTAAAATGATCAATAGAGATAAATACGTTTACCTGGGTCTTTAATAATCAGAAGATGTACAGCTGGTCAAATTCTGTAGTAATTTCTGCATGATAAAAAACAAAGAATTGCAACAAATGCAGTCAGGGTGAGAACATTAAGTGACTAAACAAAAAAGGAAAGGTGACATCGATATCATAAGACAGGCATGAAACTGCGCTCTCCCGTGCTTATTTCTAAATGCAGGTTGTACTTCTTCCATTTCGAATTAGCGATAATAACAACGAAACAGAAAAATCAAGCCCTAGCAAAAAACACAGCAATTCACTCTCATTGCGAGAGCTGGAGAAAACCAATAATTGCTTAAAGTTGTTCAGGTAGAGAACTTCTACAGCAGCTAATTAACCAAACTTCTAAAATAAATAAATAAAAGAATGACACCCCTTCAATTTTGGCTAGCTGAAACCCTAATAGCCCATCAATCTTGTGGAATTTAAGCTAAACACGTTAACAGAGACAAAATTGCAATACCTGGTGTATATAGAGGGCCCATAAATTTCCATCAAGAAATAACTGAAAATATTACAGATGAAGAAAGAAATGGATGATGGGTTTTTCTTTCGTGTGGAATTGATTTTATCAAGGATTTGATAACAAGAGTATGGACGACCGGCAAAATCGAATCGGTTCACACTCAAATTCAACTGAATCCAAAATCTTATTCCCAAGAATTGAACTGAAACAGTAGAATTTCGATCCCTTAATACAGATAAACAAGTAACGAGAGAAAGAGAGATTTGAAAGTTTCGACCTTGAATCGTAGAGTGGAATTGTTGATGAGAAGACGTAGCAGTAAAGACAGAGGAAACGGGAAAAAATAGGCGAAACAAAACACGCGCACGCTTGAGATAGTGAAGAAAATAGTGTTTTACTGCAACCTTTGACTTATGTAATAAAACACTGCATGGCGCCGAATAATACCTTTTATTGGTCATATTCCATCTTTTTCATTGGGAAACTTGAAGGTTTTCAGATCTACAAGAATGTCCCTTCACTTCATTAATCACTATTTAAGCCTTTCAGTTTCAGGAGGAGATATTAATGAATCAACAAAAAAATTACTTTGGCATGAATGCATGGATGGATGGATCCCAATTACTATGGCATCATATTCTCCTCTAATGAATCAACAAAAAAATTTCAGTCACTTTGGCAGAAATTTGCTCATTATATTTGTTAATTTGCACATTTCTTGGCCTTCTACTAAAGTGTGGAATAAGTATTATTCAATCTTTACACAGTGTAATCGTACACGAGTTCATAGGCTATACAAAACTCCTGAACCGATCGAACTTAGACTTGAATTGAACAAAGCGGTTCGGTTCGATTCCGTTCAATTTGATTCGATTCTTTTTAAATTAAATACCCGAATGAGTATCAAAATTAAGAATATATGGATTTGGTTTGATTCGATTCTCGATTCTAGATAAGAAACGAATCTTCCTAATTTTTTTATATTAAATAAGCCATATTATTTTAGTTGTTATCTAACTAAATTTGTCAAATAATTAATTGAGCTAAAAAAATATCACTTTCTTGCCATTTACCAGTTAATTAATTGAGCCCAAACCTTAAAACATCATTTTCCTATTTTCGACCAAAGCTCAACTTTGTAATTCAAATTTCAAAGAATGAAAGTGACCTAAGTTTTTCTCAAATTTCAAACTTTTTTTTTTATGATTCATGCGTCAAAACTTCGTCCAACTAATTTTGAGGAGTGGCGGCTTTCCCTTCAAGTTCGCCACTCAAGTAAATCGTATGCTTGCATTTTTATGTTGTTTTTTTGGGATTAAGGACTCTTGTGACTAGAACTAATTTAATGCTGTTTGTTCTTTAAGATGCAAATACTATCAAGAGTAAGGTTCGCTCGTGTTATCTGCTTTGAATTCAAGTTGTAAATACTTGTATGAGCATGAATGACTTGTATTTTTTGTTTGCTTTTAAAGCTGCAAGGACTTACATGAGCATAGCTCACTCACATCTCATTTGCTTTTAAAGCTGCAAGTACATTTTGCTCGTAAGCATATTTGGCATTGTTTAAGGGCATGTTCGGTAGAGATTAAAATTGAAAAATTAATCCCAATAACAGCTATATTTTCAATTTTAATTGGATTTTGAACACGACCGAACACGCCCTAAATGATACAAAAGAAGTCAATTTTTTTTCCCTTTTAGATTCTCTTGACTACAAAGATGACTTGCTTATATGATTCGGTTTTTTTTTGTCCAAAGGTTACTCACAAGTTATAGTGAATGTTTTAGATCACATATAAATCATACATTAAGAGCGTGTTCGGTAGAAATTAAAATTTGATTAAAATTGAAAAACTAGCCGTTATTGTTGACTTTTATCAGACGAGTGAGATCCAATAACAACCATATTTTCAATTTTAATTGGATTTTAAGCTGTACCGAACAGGCCCTAAATTTTTTGAAATTGCAAGTTATCATGATATCATTTTAAAGCGTTTTGTAGACCCCACCCCCAAATTTTTTAAAATAATAACAAAAATGAAAGAGGAAAAAAAAACTAACTAAAACTATGTAATTCATTTAATTGCGTCTCTCATATATATATATATGTCACTTAACGTCCTATAAATCAATGTTGTAACATCAATAATATTAAATTGTATTACTTTTTGTTCTTACAATTGGCTTCATTACACCTCTATAAATTTATATAGGATTGTTTGATGTAAAAAAGTAATATTTTTGGAAAATGCGTAGTTGAAAAGTATGGAAAAATTATGAGGTCACATGTAAAATTATTTTATTAAGAAAATGTATAGTTGAAAACAAGTTTGAAAGAATAATGAGTTTTAGGGCGTGTTCGGTAGAGATTAAAATTGAAAAAATAGTCGTTATCGTTGATTTTTATTAGACGAGTGAGACCCGATAACGACTATATTTTTAATTTTAATTGAATTTTAAGTTTAGCGAAACAAGCTCTTAAAGAATATGTTCTAAAAAGGCATATCTGAGATTTTTTTTTTTTTTAATATGTCACGATTTTTCATCCTTAAATTTTAATAAATCATATTGAAATTGAATTGACATCCCAACAATTATTTGGATTGATAAATGCCAAAAGTGTAATGTTGACATGAGTAAATATGCATTGGAAGTAACGTTTAACAAACTCAAACGTGGCACGATGTACCCATACTATTTCTTTTTATACAAAAATTTGAACCAGCCATCCAATTATAGCCCAACCGCAGGATCACGATTACGTCACGCTGTCTTGCCACGTGGAAGATGGTGACAATTTGGACGGCTGCATATGCTGGTCATGCAATCAACTTGGGTCGATTTGATAGGTAAGGATGGAAAGAAATTTTAATTCTATGTTGTTGAAAAATAAAAATTCATCAAATTCATAGAAATTCATTTTCCATGAAAACAAATAAAATGTAGTTTAAAGTGGTTGTACCTTGAAACTCGATTTCCATTTTCACGTTGCAATTAAACGGCCAAAATAGAATTCGTTTTCCTCGAATGTGACATTTTTTTTTATGAAATTCATTGCAATCAAACTATTCCTGATCTAAATTAATTTCAATTAGTATAAATTTGGGGTTTTTAATTGTGGTTTTGACCCCCATTAAATTATATTTATTTTTCTCTTTTCATATTAATCACACATTTTTAATAAAATAAAATTACATGTAAACTTAAAAAAAATTATTATTTTTTAATTATACATTCTTCAAAAAATTATTATTTATCTCATTGTGTCTGTTTGGAGCTCATTTTCATTTCATTTATGGCATGAATGCATGGATGGATGGATGGATCCCAGTTACTATGGCATCATATTCTCCTCTAATGAATCAACAAAAAAATGTCAGTCACTTTGGCAGAATTTTGCTCATTATATTTGTTAATTTGCACATTTCTTGGCCTTCTACTAAAGTGTGGAATAAGTATTATTCAATCTTTACACAGTGTAATCGTACACATGTTCATAGGCTATACAAAACTCTTGAACCGATTGAACTTAGACCTGAATTGAACAAAGCAGTTCGGCTCGATTCAGTTCAATTTGATTCGATTCTTTTTAAATTAAATACCCGAATAGGTATCAAAATTAAGAATATATGGATTTGGTTTGGTTCAATTCTCGATTCTAGATAAGAAACGAATTTTCCTAATTTTTTTATATTAAATAAGCCATATTATTTTAGTTGTTTTCTAAATAAATTTGTCAAATAATTAATTGAGCTAAAAAAATATCACTTTCTTGCCATTTACCAGTTAATTAATTGAGCCCAAACCTTAAAACATCATTTTCCTATTTCGACCAAAGCTCAACTTTGTAATTCAAATTTCAAAGAATGAAAGTGACCTAAGTTTTTCTCAAATTTCAATCTTTTTTTTTTTTTATGATTCAGGCGTCAAAACTTCGTCCAACTAATTTTGAGGAGTGGCGGCTTTCCCTTCAAGTTCGCCACTCGAGTAAATCGTATGCTTGCGTTTTTGTTTTGTTTTTTTGGGATTAAGGACTCTTGTGACTAGAACTAACTTAATGCTGTTTGTTCTTTAAGATGCAAATACTATCAAGAGTAAGGTTCGCTCGTGTTATCTGCTTTGAATTCAAGTTGTAAATACTTGTATGAGTATGAATGACTCGTATTTTTTGTTTGCTTTTAAAGCTGCAAGGACTTACATGAGCATAGCTCAATCACATCTCATTTGGTTTTTTACTCGTAATGACTTATACAAACACGACTCTTTCAAGCTGATTTGCTTTGCTTTTTGAACTGCAAGGATGATGAACGTTTATTTCCGTACTTTACTTTATTCTTTGAGTTATAATGAATTATACGAGTACATTTTGCTTGTAAGCATATTTGACATTGTTTAAGGGCATGTTCGGTAGAGATTAAAATTGAAAAATTAATCCCAATAACAGCTATATTTTCAATTCTAATTGGATTTTAAGTACGACCGAACACGCCCTAAATGATACAAAAGAAGTCAAATTTTTTATTTTTTTTTTGCCTTTTAGATTCTCTTGACTACAAAGATGACTTGCTCATATGATTCGGTTTTTTTTGTCCTTCCAAAGGTTACTCACAAGTTATAGTGAATGTTTTAGACCGCATATAAATCTTACATTAAATTTTTTGAAATTGCCTCTTATTTATTGTCACTCAACGTCACATAAATCAATGTTGTAACACCAATAATATTAAATTGCATTACTTTTGTTTTGATACTCAGGTACCACTTTCGACGACTAATCATGGGGTCTAAAATTGCATTACTTTTTATTCTTACAATTGGCTTCATTACACCTCTATAAATTTATATAGGATTGTTTGATGTAAAAAAGTAATATTTTTGAAAAACGTGTAAAATTACGAGGTCACATGTAAAATTATTTTATTGAAAAAATGTATAGTTGAAAACAAGTTTGAAAAAATAATGAGTTTTAAAGAATTTGTTCTAACAGGGTATATCTGGAGAATGTTTTTTTTTTTAATATGTCACGATATTTCATCCTTAAATTTTAATAAATCATATTGAAATTGGATTGACATCCCAACAATTATTTGGATTGACAAATGCCAAAAGTGTAATGTTGACATGAGTAAATATGCATTGGAAGTAACGTTAAACAAACTCAAACGTGGCACGATGTACCCATACTATTTCTTTTTTTTTTTATACAAAAATTTGAACCAGCCATCCAATTATAGCCCAACCACAGGATCACGATTACGTCACGATGTCTTGCCACGTGGAAGATGGTGACAATTTGGACGGCTGCCTATGCTGGTCATGCAATCAACTTGGCTCCTTTTGATAGATAATGGTGGTTGAAAGAAATTTTAATTATATGTTATTTGAAAAATAAAAATTCATCAAATTCATAGAAATTCATTTTCCATGAAAACAAATAAAATGCAGTTTAAAGTGGTCGTACCTTGAAATTAGATTTCCATTTTCACGTTGCAATCAAACGGTCAAAATGAAATTCGTTTTTCTCGAATGTGACATTTTTTTATGAAATTCATTGCAATCAAACTATTCCTGATCTAAATTAATTTCAATTAGTATAAATTTGGGGTTTTTAATTGTGGTTTGGACCCCCATTAAATTATATTTATTTTTCTCTTTTCATATTAATCACACATTTTTAATAAAATAACATTACACGTAAACTCAAAAAAATTTATTATTTTTTAATTACACATTCTTCAAAAAATTATTATTTATCTCATCGTGTCTGTTTGGAGCTCATTTTCATTTCATTTATAGGCTTTTTTTTAGCTGTTGCAAAGTGATCAACTCTTTCTTTATTCAACATTTCTAACATTGACTCGACAAAAGTTTGTCAAGATTTGTCTTTGTTTTCCAACTATACCTCTTTAATGATAAAGAAATCACGGTGCATTTTTTGAAAACTGAGTAGTTAGAGTGATGGGTAAAATTGGTAAAGTTTAAAAGAGAGGACGAACTTTTTTAATTTGGAACTGTAAAAAAATGTCTACAATGAGATGAAAATGAGCTCCAAACAGACGTATTATAATGTGGAATAATGGGGGCAAACGGACACTAAATATAAACCAAACCGAGACTTTCAAATCTTTCAGTTTCAAATTCCCCCTATTGCAAGTTTATGAATATGTTTGAGAATGATTAAAATCCAATTAAAATTGAAAATATAGTTATTATTGGATCCCATTCGTCTAATAAAAGTCAATAATAACGACTAATTTTTCAATTTTAACCCGATTTCAATCTCTACCGAACACGCCATATGTATAGATTCTAAATGTGTATATACATGAGCGTTAATTAAAAAGAAGGGGTAGTTATATAATTTTTGGAACTATGAGAGACAGTTCGGTAATTTTCAGAAATTTCAGGAAATATTTTGTAATTTATTAAAATTTATAGACATTGGGCTTCAGCCTTTAGGGTTGGGCCGGGGCAGCTCTTGCCTTTTTAGAGGCTGGATTCTACGAACGAGTCGGGCAAATTTGAAAGACACAGACCTCTCCTTCCCTCCTTCAAACGTTAGGGTTTCATTTCGACTGAAATTGAAATTACTCAAACTAAGTCATTCTAATTTATTCGAGCTTTCAGCTGCAATCGAGCTACTCCTAAGGGTAAATGCTACAATTTTCTTCGCTGCTTACTGCTGTAAACCCATTTACTGAATTGAGGTTATTTACATGTGCAGATTATAGTAATGCATAAAGAACCACACTCATTGCGTTTCTGTTATTTTATTTATAGAAATGCGTTGTAAGTTCTGCTGGGAAGTAGTTTTATCATGAATTTTTAGTAATTGTCTATAAATTTGATCTGGGTTTTCATAATTTTTTATTCAACAAGTTTATCTTACGTATTATCCTGGATTCATGCCAATTCAACATAACTAATTTTGAATATCTCTTACTGGTTTTTTAGTTTTATAGAATCTTGGTCTGGTTTCCTCCACCATGACACTTATCTTCAATTTAATTGCATAAAGAAAATTTTGTTATGTTTCTGTGGCAACGTGTTCTTAATAGATTTAATCTTGCATATTGGGCCCTTTGTTTCAGGTTGTGCCATTCGCCTTGTAAAAGCATGGGACAAACAGGACAAGAAAAGTCGAGTGCCTCGTCTTCTGAACCTTTACTCGAAAAGGGACTTCTTCAAAATCAGCAACCTGAAGCAAAATTTTCATCTCCAACACCAGTGAAAACAAAGGAACCATCACGGATTAAGTGCAAAGAAGAAGCATCTGAACTTCCAGAGAAGTGGGACACTCAGTAGATGCATTGCCTGAAATCCCTTAAATTTAATACCTAAAAGGCTAAAACTGACATGATGTAATTTTCTCTTTATTTCCAGATATACGACATTATCTGAGTTTTTTGATCGTCTGATTTGTTCATTGAGATTGCTTGGCCTACGGAAAAAGTCACCAACTTTCCAGAATATCAGCAGTCAGGTTGAAATCTTGGCAGGGAGGTAATAACTGCTGCCAACTTGTTACTTGTCTGAATACATATATTTTGGTTTCAATAAACATTAATTATCCTATTAGCGTGAACACACACATATAGCAGACTATGTTTAGTTCTTTTCTGCAATATTTCCTGAAGATATAGTGAGTGTATGAGTATCATCTTAAAAATTGCAACTATCTTATCATTGTACACAACATGTTGAATCGTATCATTTTACACACCATGCACATGGTTGAATCAACTTTATTTTAATATTTTTGGATTATCTCAAGATTCTCCACAAACCTTTTCCCACACACTGGTTGTGAATAATTCTGTAGCCACGAAATATGCCGCTTTGGATTACAATTTGGAGCTATTCAGAGAGAGAAAGAATGTGGAATGTTTATCATGTTACTTGTCAACCAATTTGATATAGTTATATAATAAGTGAAAATTTGATACTTCCATTTCCTAACATATATACAAGGAACTGAAAGCCTGGCTGTTTTTGAGCTTTGGTTTAATCATTGTAATAGAAGTTAGATGGGTAAAACATGCATATTAGTATTAACTGTTAGGTGACAATTGAACTTCAACAGCCAGCACTTGAACAGTGATATAAATTTTTTATCCTATTAACATCCTTGATCTATGGTTACTCCAATACGCTTCCAAGGCTTGAGTTCAAGTGCCATATTAATTGGGTGTGCTTCAGATGTTAATATTTTTGAATTTCTGATGGATAGAAACTAGAATTGCCGTTGCAGAGAACATCACAGACAACTGATACAATTTTTACTGTTCTTTATTTATGGTACTTGAAAACCTTCTTTTGACTACTGGTCCTTTTCTATTTTTCCCCCTTTGTCAGGAAGTTTCTGTTGAACCATCTTGCACAAATAAAATATGTACTTCCTGAGGCCGTTCAGATTGATAAGATACTTGTGCATGACGAGGAAACCAAGTGCATGAAGCCAGATGTTAAGATTGCATTGGTATTTGATGTTATAGAAGGTCATCATGGAGAATCTGTGTTCATGGAACTCAGAAATCTTTTCTCTTCCCGTCTAAGAAAGTTATACATTACACATCCCAAGGTGATGTTCCTTCATATGTTTACGGTGTAATTATGACGAATGTAGTAATTCAGTAGCGTTTCATAAAAAATAAAAAGAAGAAAGAAAGAAAGAAAAAGAAATAATGATATCTTAGTGCTCTCTTATTTCTGCAGTTAGGGAAATCTCACCTAGAACCATAACCAAACTTAATTCTCTAATATTCAGCAGAAACTAAATTGGTGAATTGAATTTGTTTTATATTGCTGAACTGCAATAGATTACAATTAAAACCAAACACCATCCATCACTTTAGTAATTTCTTGCTCAGTTGCGCTAATGTTTCAATATGGAGCACGAGATTTAAATAATCTAATACTGAGGATTTCAACCTTTGGGTCCTCGTGGAGCATGTCATCCCCTGCCGTAGACTGGTCAAGCATGAAGTTGTGTTCAGAGATCGTGATGAGGGAGAAGTTTTGGATTTTTTTGAATATATGTATCTACTGAATAGTTTTGTCTCCTGGACGCAGGATTTTGACATCCCTGAAGCTGTACTTCCAGAGCCATTTAACAGGAGACCTATCAACATCAAGGCGGAACCTACTCCCAACTTATCAGCTCTACCGGAGATGGAAGTATTAAATTCATCCCATCTCTCTCCATCTTTCTGTAAACGCTTTTCTCAGAAGACTCTTGCTGCAGAGAAAGAAAAGACTCACCTATTTTCACCTATAAAATCTTCTTGTGTGGCTAATCAAGAAATTGAAGGAACAGGAATATTTCCGGATTCTTTTTCCAAATCCACAGACATTCTCCAAGTGACTCAGACTTCACATTGTGTTAGCTCCGGCACATTTGGAAATACTCCTATGAAGGTGGCTTCTCCGGAAAATGACAATCTAATTGTTGAAACACCTGCACAATCTACTCCAATGAGATTAATTTCTCCAAATAGATCAGTGCTTACCTGTGAAGACGAGTGCAAGACCGCAACAAGCCAAAACTGCACACCTGGCAGTCTGACTGCAAAGAGGTCGCTAGATTTTTATACTTTGGATGGTGATAATACTTCTCAGGACTTTAGTACTGATGAGAATGAGATGGAGCATTCTGAAAGTGTCTGCAGTACCCTCCCTCAGATGAAAATGAAAGGGTGCAAGGTAAAATTAAATTAGCAGTTACTTGTGTTTTCTTTAAAAAATTGCAATAACTGGTTAAATTAATTTCCAATTTAGTGTCTCTGTGGAACTTTTATGGGCTTATTTGCTTCTTGCTTTCTGAAGATAACATACTCATCTGTTCTGTACTAGACAATGCTTATATAATTTGAGATGCTGGTGATCTTTCAAAATTGACATAGTATCGATTTAAATGAGACAATCATGATTACCAGTATTGCTATTTGTATCAGCATGCACAGTGGTTTATTTCTGAATAAGGTCCAAACTTGAATATGAATGTGAATTTCTTAATTTTCACCGGGTACTTTTGCTAGAAAAAAATTACTTAGGTAGGAAAACTAAGGATTGTGAAAGCGCCATCAAACAACTCTAAAGTGAGTATAAAGATTCCCCAAAAGACTAAGGGATGCGCACATTTTATTTTCCTTCATGTTGGATCACATATTTACTTTTCAGTTTGGCATACAAGTAAGCTGTTATTATCTATTTTAGGAAGAATAAAGTTGTTCGAAAATTCATCGTTATTTATTAGATGTATTGTTCACAACTGACCATGAAATTCATTGGGATAGGTCGAGGAGAGCAGTTGTTACATTGGTGATGACCATGAACTGAATCAGAAGAAACTTAATTCACTCAAACAGACGTCTATCTGTTTGTCTGACCTCGTTCTCTTAATTCATCATATCTTTCAATCTGTTAGCTTTCGTTCAATCACAAAGGAAGAACTTGTTCACAAGATTATTCTGAACAACTGTGATATTGATGACAGCAGTAAGCTCAAGTGCTCATAGTTCATTTTCTTTCCCTTTTCCTATTTCTATGGAAAAGTTTGAAAATTATTCATGTTTATGTTTTTAGGTGAGATTCTAATGCAACTAGAGCAACTGGAGAAACTGGTTCCAGACTGGTTTTACAAGAAGTTTGCTCCCTGTGGAGACTTACTGTACAAGTAAGAATTTCTTCCTCTATTTTTTTTTGGCAGTTATGAATGTTGGGTATAATTGTGGGCTACCGTCAAGCTCTTCTTGTTGCTGTAGTGTATAGGTGGATCTGTGAGATAATAATCACGATGAAAAGGAGGTTCGACCAGTATGAAAATTTTCATCTCTTTACTTCGATTTGTTATATCTAGATATGTAGTACATTCACATCAGTAACTGTGCTGTTGCACATCTAACCTTGCGAAATATGCCATCCCTGAGACAAATGTAAGGTGGAATACTACTTGGAACTAAGTAATTAAATGGACAAAAGAGCAATATGGACAGCGTACCTTTAAACTTTTACTTGAATGAAAGATGTACTACAGTGGTATAAATCTCTGAATATTTTCTGGTGAATTTCAGTGTGAAAAAAACGTCAGACTTGAATTCAGTTTGCGAAAGAATTAACATCATATAATGCAATTGGCTGAAGGTGAGTACTCTAGTATGGTACATGCTTCTCTGCTCGTTTCATATGGACATGTACTCCTAATGTTAGAAGGAAACATCATTTTGACTCAGAAGATATCTATACTGACAATGGCTTTGTGCAAAATCATGTAACTATGTATTATATTGAATTTGCAGGGGGGCATATTTGCTTTAGATTGGTCCATTCAAAATTAGAACAGGTGCTGAAAGTAGAAGGGTTGAAATGGTATTCCTGATTTGTGAGTTAATTGCTAATTTCCCCTTCAAAATGTACACACAATCGTTTCAACCTCTACTGGACAGTTTGTTGGCTGCTCAAGGATTCCATATTTTATGCATGTGTATGAACTAGGATGCTAGTTAAAGGAGCAAATGAGTATAACAATATTGTGGGTGCATAATTTATCTCTTTTGTTTTAAGCTTATCAATTTTTTTTTTTTTAGATTAAACTTCAAAGGCGTATATCATATTTCATAGCTTTTATGAAGATTAGCGTCTTTAACAGAAGACTTATCCAAAATTACCTTGACTGTGACAGTTAGGTTTATTCTTTGATTTTTCGCTTGGATAGAGAAAGAAAGAAGATGTTAGTAATAAAAAGCTTAATAGAGTTAATGATCATTGAAAAAATTTCATTGGTGATCGTTGATAATATTAATGTAGTAGATTCTAACAAAATCAATATATTTTGGTCATTCGAACCCATTTGATTTCTTATTGTCAAGGAAGCCTTTGGTATGATTGATAAAGTTTTGTTCTTTCTATATTTTCTTACAAGTTACTAAGATAAGTTCAAATATCTTTTTATTTTTTCTTTACAGTATTATCGATGGATAAATTATTTTTTAACTATTATTTGGTTTTAACAGAATTTTTAGTTAATATTTATTTAATTTAATTTAATTATTTATGAATTTTTGTCGATTACGAATATTACTAACCAAGTGCATTACATGATTTGCGAACTATATGCATATCGTTGAAACCATCAGCTTTCGTATAAAATGATGCAAGAACTATTTTTGGCCATTAGAAAGCTTAGTGACAATTGGTTAATCCGAGAAAAATGGTGATTTTAACTTCTTTTTTGTATTGTTCGGTAATAAAACGAAGGAAAAATAATTGTTTCCCCATACTGTTGTTTTCTCGAATCATGGAAACTAATTCTAGTTGGTTGTTGCTTATTGTGACATGTTATACCTCTATTACTGAGGCCTAACCGAGATAAGTAGATAAACCCTCGTGTGTGCGATTACTCAAACGAGCCAAGAAAAACAATCATCTAGCAGAGCCTGTATAAATTTGAATCAACGGACAAATCTTGTCCAGTATTTGTAGTGTCACTTGACTTGATCAGAATGGAAATAACTTGCATACTTCTGATGAACCTTAGCCCCTTTCGGTACTTGACATTTCTCGTGACAAGCTCCAGACGGGCTTAACTACTATATTCAGCCAGTAATCCAAGGCGGTGGGCTCACTTTAGGCAGCTCTAGAAACAAGATTTGTCCAGTAGACGTCGTCCAGGAGAAAATGAAGCTCAACAGAGGGCTGCCTGTGAAGTTTTTTCCCGTGCATAATACTGGCATGGTCTGTCTATCAAATGATCTCAATCAATATTAAAAGAAGCCGTTCTGTGTGCAAAGTGTTAGGTAATTGCCTTAAAAGTCAAAGTTGGAGGACTTCTACTACAAATAATAAAAGGTCATTATTTTGGATGAATTTCATATTTTTAGGGTTCTGTGTTTGAGTTAAATGTTTCAATGGCCAATGAACTTTATACTTCGTCACGGCTTACTCACCCAACTTAAAAAATCGTACTAGTGGCCACTGAACTTAGGCCTTTTGCATTCCATAAGCCACTGGATGGATTCCATCGATAGATCTATCTACGTGGAAGACGAAATAGTGACGTGGCAATTAAAATTGTCCAAATGTCTACCCAAATGCACACATGGATTTCCAAATCAGCCAAACACACCTTATCAATTAAGCACCCCCAAACCCTAACCCCTGCACCCCATATCCATTTCATTTCACCTCGCGATTCTCTGGGAATTGAAAATCCCTGCAAATTGGGGCAAAGTCTGAGAAGAAATTCCCCAAGTGGAAGAAGACTAGAATGTCTTGAGAAAAGATTTCTTGGCTCAGAGAAACAAGAACTAAAGATGAAGAGATGGCTCAGAAAAGCAAGTAGATCAATAATCCTCAGTTCCATTTTCTGAAGCCTACCCATAGTATGTTTATGTTATGACTTGATTATGGTGAAGTCATTTGCTCATCGTTTGTGAAGATTGCCTTGATTTTTTCACTAATTTAAGTTGAGAAATTTTGTTGCTATGCTGTTTTTGTTGGAGCTTTTCACCGATTGAAGTATAAGGTGCATGAAATCAAAAGGCAGAACATCTTGACATTTCAATTGAACTAAATTTCTTAACACGAATGCACATTACATCCATTATACATTCTACAGAAATGCACGTCACTGAAGTAAATTTCTTAACATGAATCCACAAAACCATCACCACACCTGCTGCTAGACATTTGCTAGTACAAGACCTCAAATTTCATAAGGGCACGTTTGAAGAGTAGAGTGTTGAATTGATGAAATGGAGCTTAGTTGGCAGAGGAGTTTACATTTGGAAGGAGTTAACATGCCAGATCATATTTTCGCCCTCCATGTCAACATTAAATGAAACATCATCCACCCGGTGAGTAATGGACAATTACGGAGCAAAATTCAGTGACTAATGAAATGCTTTCAAAAGTTCGACGAGTAAGTCGTGACATGATGCAAAGTTCGACGGCCATTGAAACATTTAACTCATGTGTGTGGCCTGTGAGAGATAAAACAAAGAAAATACAGCGGCTGAAATTTATCACCCACGTCTCCACAGCATTAGCTTGGCCAGCAGCTTTGGGAGGACGAAACTTGGCCAGCTGATTTGGGAGAAAAAGGTGGGCTGTTTTCCTGAAATATATATATAATAGATACACATATAGACACGCCTGAAGAGAGAAGAAAACATTGGATTGTGGCTATAGTATAATATATATACACGCACGGCAGAGAGGACAAAAAGGGAGATTTGGGTGCTTAACCTTTTTTTTTTGGTAATACTTTGGAATTGGATTGGGGAGTGAAATTCTATATGATTATAACATTTTTTTATACTGTGAAAAGCTTCGTTTAATTTATGCGTTATATTCTTTATTTTTCTTTGTTTGTTAATATTCTCCTGACAACAAAAGATTCTGTGGCTAAATTGAAATAAAGGGAATTGGCATAAAATTTCCTAACACAAAGGGAGGTTGTCAGGTGCATTTGCATTCCTAGATGTTTTCTTTTGTTTCATGTTCTGTTCAAGGATGTGTTGCCTTTCATCTTACCACAATTCGAGGATATTCGGATCTATGCTTATTTACAACTCCTTGAAGCATTTCGACAATTGCTAAGTCCTTCTTCAACCTCGATTGTACAAATAGAATTTTCCAATTAAGTAATTGTGTACAAGAACGTGGACCATTATATTTAGCAGAGATTTTTTTCTTTTTTACAATGACAAGTGGAAGGAGCAAAAAGTAAACATAACAAGTAGCCGAAAAAGATGTTGACTCTGTTCAAGGGTAAAATTTCATGTCACTTAAATATGAAAACAATAATCGACGTATAAAGAATTTGAGCTACTCTTTTCAGCAAAGGAACGTTTTCACTGAATTCCCAGAAAACACGGACCATTGCTAAACCAGACGAATCATAATTGATCATTCTGATTCCCGGGAGCATGTTTGGCCTTGCTTCTTTTGTAGAAGAATGGGACTTTGATAATGTCGAAATAATTAAAAAAGAAGCCATATTTTTGGCTTTTAATCTTAACCAAACATGACGCTATTGCTATTCCTTCCTACCTCATCACGATGCCCATATGTGCAAACCTTTGCTTTTATTAATGATGGCCTAGTGTATCGCACTTCCTGCAACAGATAATTTTAAAGCGTCAGACTCCTGCAGATAATGTTAGGCAAGTGGGATCCCACCTCCCCTTCAGAAAATACACATATTCTCGAGCAGTATTTATTGTTCAATCAAGCTATTCCTCCTTCATAAGTTCTATGACATCAACATGGGGAAGAAGACTCTTCTTAGGCTGTTTGTATTTTTTCTGGTTATGGCTTTTATTTTCTCTGCTACTGCAGTTCCTGCATCAAGTAAACACCATGATCTCAACTTTAACTTATATATAGATGGTCCATACGTGTTCTCTCGTGTTTTGATTTCTTTGATTAACAGGAAGCTTCAAGGAAATTACTGAAAATATTTGTGACCAAGATTCCCACTATCAGATTCAGGTGCATTTCTTGGTTTCCTTGCAAATGTTAAATTTTTAGATGAATTACTTGCTGTGCTTCTTTACAACGTAGGCTGTATTGGACCTGCAGAGGAAGACTGTAAGGGTCTTGGAGGAGGATGAATCATTAATACAAGGAAGAATGGATATCGAAAGGACAGATTATTCCGGCACTGGTGCGAATAACCACCACGATCCTAACCCACCTTGAAGCTTTCGATTGCACTCACCTCTCTGCTGTGTCATCTTGTGAGGTTTACGTTAAAAGCATTTAAGATGTTTTCTTGAGATGCAATGGTTTTTATCATTGAACTGTTTTGCTACCCATGCTAGTCTTCTCTATCAGTTTCAATAAACCGTCGATTGACACAAAACCTTATCGCTTAATCTATGCCTCCCGAGGCTACAGAATTACAAGTACATTGGAATTATCAGCAATCCCAAAGACAACTTCTTTGAACACATTGTACTAAAACAAATTACACACGATTGATGCAAATTTTTCAAAACAAAATTAGGTAAACTACCGTATTGACTCTACTATACTTGATTGAAAAATTTGTACACAGTTCCCAAACTTTTCGTCGCTGCAATTCCAACAATGGTGAAAATAGAAGGGGATTTCCATTTTTGCTA